AGAGACCGTCTAGGCTCTTCCAAGAAAGAGGCAGGAAGGCATTGGCCAAGCCACTGATCGATTGCACGGTAGATACCAAGGAACAACTTCACGTTTATTTTCTTAAGAGAGAAGATTTGGTTTCCTTTGAAATAAAATACTTTCACTGGGTTCATTTGTTCCTGCCTGCCATCCCAGCATCCAGAATGCTAAGTCAAGAGGATTACAGCTTCCCTCGCCAGCCAGAGCTACATAGCAAGTCCCAAGCCTGCCTGAGTTTCGTAGATATACCCTGCCTCAAATAAACAAATAAAAAATTTAGCAAATTCGAATCACAGCATCGTCAGTGTCAACCACATCGTCACCAGGGAACACACTGCTGGGATGGAAGGCCAGCTTCTAAGGGTTCCAACCCAACCCACCATATCACCCTGACTCCAAGGACAAGGACCAGGTAACCACTTTAAGGGCCACGGAGATGAGTGGGCACATGCAGATGTCACCCTTCCCTTATCACATGGCTGGAAAGAAAGCCAATTCAGCCACCAGTGAGATCTCAGGGCAGACTCTGGAGCTCTGGGGCAGTGTGCAGCCAATGCCTGCACTGTTCGGGTGTTGCCTCCTGACTCTGGTCCCCAGTTCTCTGAAAGATGAAGTTTCTCTGGTAGAACAATGGGCGGGACAAGGTGAGGAAGGAGAATCCACCGCTCTGTGACGTTCTTACCATCCACCATTGATAGAAGTCAGGGCAGGAACTCAAGCAAGAACCCGGAAGGCAGGGAACCAATGAGGATCACGGTTGCTGGCCCACTCACTTGATTAGTTTTCGGTACAGCCCAGGAGCACCTGCCCAGGAAACGGCTCCACCCACAGTGGGTTGGACCCACCTACATCAGTTAAAATAATCAAGACAATCCTTCAGGACTGGAGAGATGGTGCAGCAGTCGGGAGCCGCTTTTCCAGAGGATGCAGGTTCTACTCCGAGCACTTATGTGGTGGCTCACAATTGTAACTCCAATTCCAGGGGCAACCTTCTGGCCTCCTCAGGGAACAGATATACATACGCAAAGGCAAAACATTTTGTGGTAGTTGGAAAGAAAATGGCCCCCAAAGGGAGTGGCACTATTAGGAGGTGTGGCTTTACTGGAGTGGGTGTGGCCTTGTTGGAGGAAGGAGGCGGGGTTTGAGGTCTCATATACGCTCAAGCCACACCCAGTGTCTCAGACCACTTCCCGTTGCCTGTGAGTAAATGTGTAGGCCTCTCAGCTCCTTCTCTAGCACCTCGTCTGCCTGCGTGCAACCTTGCTTCTCTCCATGACATACGGAGCTAAAGCTCCGAACTGTAAGCGAGCCACCACAATTAAATGTTTTCCTCTGTAAGAGTTGCCATGGTCATGGTGTCTCCAAAGCAACAGAAACCCTAACTATGACACACCTATACATATTAAAATAAACCTTAAAAAAGAAAAGGTCCCACAGAGCAATTTAGTCAAGATAATTACTCAATGGAGACTCCTTTCCAGGTGACCCTAGACTGTGTCAGGTTGGCAGTTAATACTAATTAGGACTGGTGGGAAAGAGCCATCCGCCCCAGCTGGAAGTCGCTGGTCACTGAGAGGGACATTTGTACAACTCGTGAAGATATAATGCTGTGAGTGGTTCAATAAAGGTTTCTCACTGGCCTCAGAGGGCAGATCATTCCAAACCGCCTCCATGCCCAGCTTTATTTCTTTAACCTTTTTCGTTTAGTTATGTGTGATGCAGGCGAGGGCCAGAGGGTGGCCTGCAGCAGTTGGTTTGAACCTTCTATCCTGTGTGTCCCGGGAACTGAACTCAGGTTGGCAGGCTCAGTGGCAGTCACCTTTCCGTATTGAGCTTTCTTGCCAGCTACTGTTGTTTTAAGATGGGTTCTGGGGACTGGAACTTGGTCACCGTGCTTGCAGGGCATGAGCTAACCTGAGCTAACATGCCTTCAACGAACCACCATAACGCAGAGACGTTTGTGCTTGTTTTCAATCCTTAATGGTCATCTCCCAAATGCCGTGCCTGCTTCTACCCTGCAGGCTCCCTGACTAGATAAGCAGCTTACACGTTAAAGAGCGCTCAGGTTCTAGGGACCCACATCCCCCTGGCCTTCTCTGGCACAAGGCTAGCTCCTCTGGTCTGTCCTCATCTCCTGGAGAGCCCTGGGCTCTGTTCTCAGCTCCCCATGGCAACCTCTCATCATACACATCCCTCTCTCGCTGGTGGCTTTGTGTGCCACTGACATGCCGTCACGGGAGTCCTTGAGAGTGCCCCCTAAGAAATCATCTGTGGGGCCAGGGGGATGGTCTGGGTAAAGTACTCGCCTCACAATGATGGGGACCCGAGTTCAAACCCCAGGAATCACATCTGTAACCCCAGCATTCCTACAGTGAGAAAGAAGGTAGGGACAGAAGACACCCTGGGCCCACTCTGGGTGAGCTAGTCTGGACATCGAGGCCTACACCCAAGGTTGTCCTTTGACCTTCACATGCTTGCTGCGGCACGCGTGCCCACACACATCCACGCAGATTAAAGAGAAAAACCATGTTGCTCGGATCCCCATCCCAGGCTCTGCCCTCTGAGTATTCCGATTTTACTTGCAGCCTGAGCCTCTGGACCAACGTCAGGCCATCGGTCCTGGGCCAGATCCTTTCCCCATCCACTGGTGCCATTAGTAACTTCCCTGGGACCGTGACAAGAAGCAATTTAGGGGGAAAGGGATTATTTCCACTTACAGTGCGGGGAGACACATTCCACTGCGGGAAACAGGATTGGGAGGTGGCAGCTGGTCCTATCCAATTAGCTCAGGAAGCAGAGAGGAGCACTGGTACCCAGCTCACCCTCTCCCTTTCTTCAGTCCCTGGCCTCAGCACAGGAGGGGCCCATGCACAGTTAGGATGGGTCTTTCTACCTCAGTTTACCCACAGAACCTTCCACACAGGCGTGCCTAGAGGCCTGTCTCCTAGGTGACTCTAAATCCTGTCAGGTTGGCCAATGAGAGTTTCATCCTTCTCAACGTTCAGGCCCAAACTTGGACGCCATCTTTAAGCCCTCTTGAGCTCTTACATTCCACGCATGCCCTATTATCAACTCCCACAGCTTGTGCTCAAATTCCATCCAGGATCCGGCTCCTCCCTGGCACAGCCGTCACTGTGGTACAGAGCCTGCTGCTGCCCACTCCTAGCACCCCGCCCCCACAGCAGGGCAGTGAGTGACCACTGTGAAGTCTGCGACTCCTCGTGCAAACCTGCACTGTTTCCACCCTTGGGGACACGAGCCAAAGGCCTTGCCCTATCAGGACCCTGGCCATCTGTCTCCAGCCCGCTCGCCCGCCTAGGCTTCCCTCCTTCGTCCCTGGCCCATCCAGCCCGCACGCCTGCCTAGGCTTCCTTCCTTTATCCCTTGCAATGTGACGTTTTACTTTTACTTTTTTTGGGGGGGGGCACATCACCCAGCTCCCAAATAACTCACCCACGGAGCTTTATTCTTAGTTATGAAAGCCCGGCCTTACCTTGGCTTCTTTCTTGTCAGCTTTTCTTAAATTATCCCGACTACCTTTTGCCTCTGGGCTTTTTCCTTTTCCTGCTACTGTATATCTTACTTTCGCACTTACTCCGTGACTGGCTGGGTGGCTGGGTGGTTGGCCCCTGATGTCCCCCTCGTCCTTGTTTCTCCTGTTTCTCCTCTCTGCCTGCCAGCCCCGCCTATCTTTCTCCGGCCTTGCTATTGGCCGTTCAGCTCTTTATTAGGACCATCAAGTGTTTTAGACGGGCAAAGTAACACAGCTTCACAGAGTTAAACAAATGCAACAGACAAAGGTAACACACCTTAAAATAATACTCTACCATAGTCCTGGCCCTGCCTAGCCTTCCCTCCTTTGCTCCCAGCCCATGCCTCTCTGTGGGCCTCCCGGTCGATTCCCAATCCTTCCAGGCCACTGTTTCTCCTTGGATCCAGATTGCTACACCTGAGTGAGACCTTGATGCCCCAGAGCCTGGGCTTCAGCGTCTCCTCAGTCAGCCTGGTCCCACTTCCCCCTCATCCCGACGCCTGCGCTCCCTGCTTCACTTTCCTCCAGTCAGCATCCTTACCTAGGACGCACCGGCGCCTACAAACCCATGAATGTCCCTCTCCCTGCAAATTCTAAACTGTGAGAGCAGCATAGCGGTTAACATCGAATGTCAACCTGACGGGGTCCAGAATCGCACTCGAGAAGAGTTTCTGGGCATGTCTGTTAAGGAGTTCCTAGATTATGTCACCTGAGGTGGGAAGAGTCACCCTAACTGTGGGCAGCACCATTCCTGGGGCTGGATCCCAGACACAATAAGGAGGAGGAGGTGGGGCGGGCAATGTCGGGGCACACGCCTTTCATCCCAGCACCCACGAGGCAGAGGCAGGCGGATCTGAGTTCAAGGCCAGCCTGGTCTACAGAGTTCCAGGACAGCCAGGGAAGACATGAGCTAAGCACCAGCATTCACTGCCTGCAGATGCAACCTGACCACATGATGATCTCAAGTGCCGGGCGCCATGATGGAGTTCACCCTCCAACTGCAAGACAGGACAAACCCTCCCTTAAGCTGTTTTGTGCAAGTGAGGTGTGCTGCCACAGCTGCCAGACCAGGAACTAGCACAAGCAGGCTTCCCTTTCCCTTCGGGTACTCTGCACCGGACCTCTGCTGTTGGTTAAATGCCTAATGCAGGACAGGAACTCAACAACCCTTACAAGGATAAACAGAACTAGAGCCTGGCCCTGGCCTGCATCCATGTCTAACTCGGAGACTGGTAACTGGGCACTGTAGCCCATTGTAGTCTGAAGACTCAAAGGAACTGGGCCTAGGCCTCCTCCGGGCGTTCTGCACGTCCAATTTCTTTCTCCGTAGCTACTTCAAACCAAGTGAAGACCATCAGGAGGCCCCAAGTGGCTTAGCCTTTATCTTCCGCCGCCCTTCATCTTCAAAAAGAGACGTGAAGGAGACAAGAGTCTAGAGACCAAAAACTTCTTCAAATATAGTTATCGTCTTTTAGTGTTTTTCTTACTTTAAAAATAATACTGTTGTTTTTTTTTTTTTCAGGGATTGAAAAAACAGACCACAGAAGGCTGTCTTTCTGAACACGGAGGAGTCAGGTGGGGTCACGTAGAAGACAGATGTGACCATGGGGAGGACAGATGGGATGGGGGGAAGGCGTGTGAACAAGAGGGAATGGCCGGGGACCGTGAAGACGGGTGTGAACCCAGAGAAGGCGGTAGACAAGCGTGAGCACAGGCTGGGCCTGGTTCCCCACAGTAAGAGAGACGGCGGCTTCCCTTTCCCTTAAAAAGGGAAGACTTTGAGGTATCAACAACCTGGGCACCCGAGGAAAAAGGAACACGGGAGAGAAGTCTCTTTAGCGGCTGCAGGCTAGCCAGCCTCTTCCAGCTCCAACAGGTCATCCACGTATTCCACAACCTCTCCCTGGAAGAGACGGCAGACATCAGTCAGACGGGCCGCGTGGCACGAAAGGCATCAAGAGGCCACCACTGGCTGTCTGCTCTGAGCGAAGCAAGTCCCCCGCTGGCTCAGAGCCCAGATGACCTGATTCCTCTGTCTTCTAACCCCCAGCGTCAAGTGACCTGCCATCCCACAGATGACCCGTGACACGTAGGTGGTCTAGCCACCACCCTCAAATGCTCCACGTGGGTGACTGTTCTGGGCATCCTTCCAGCTCTGCCTCAGGAACCCATGCTTCCGGAACTCTCTGCTTTGACCAGCAACCTACAACTTTCCAAACCACCACAGCCAAACTCTCTCTGAGAGCATCCCTGGGGCTCTCCAACGAGACCTAAGGCGCAGGCCTGTGCATCACTTATTTCTTCAGCAGCCCTGGGGACTGGACCCAGGGCTTTGTGCCTTGCAGGCAAAGGCCACACGGATGAGCCGCATCCCCAGCCCCCACTCCCTCAGTTGCATAGACTTCAGACCCAACTGGCACTTATGGTCACTCCTGCTTCACAAAAGGCTGGCACTTTCTCCTTATGGCGGTGGCCATGTGAAGCGGCATGGTGAAACTCCCCCGGCCCTGGCTTCCTCCAGAGCTGGAGTGGTAGGAGGAGTGGCAGGTGGGACAGGGGACGGGGGTGGGGGCGGGGGTGCAGCTTAGAGTCTCTGGGCCTGGCCCAGCATCTCTCAGAACGTCCCAGCCTCCAGGTTCCCCCAGGATGAGAAGGGCCAGGGCAGAACAAGCCCCCAGATCTCTTCTGGCTCCAAACCCAGCAGGTTCCCAGCTTTCTTACAAAGCATTTTCTAGTTCCAGGCCTCTCTAAATAAATAATTAGGGGTATCCACAGGCTGTCCCTCCGCTCAAAGTCAGGACTCATCAAGGAGGGACAGTCAGGAAATATCTACCATACAGTAGAGTGAGGGCCTGGCATGTGTGCATATATCTATCTGCAAGGCCAGCGCTTGGGAGGTCACCACAGGAGGATCAGGACTTCAGGACCATCCTCAGCTACACTGCAAGCTGGAGGCCAGCCTGTGCTACAAGAGACACTGTCTCGAAACACAATGATGGGGTTGGGGACCTATGCGGTAGCTCAGGGGTAAAAGTGCTGTGGAGCCAGAGGCGGGAGAGCAATCCCTGGCACCCGCACGATGGAAGGAGGGAACCAACTCCCTCCAGCTGTCCCCTGACCTCCACACTGGTGCTGTGACACATGACTGTCACCTCCACAATGCGGAGGAAGACAGAGGAAGGAGGATCGGGAGCATGCGTCCCAGTCACTCCATGTTCTGCGAGAGACTCTGCTTCAGAAAACAAGGGGCCAGCAAGATGGCTCAGTGGGTAAAGCAATTGCCCTACAAGTCTGGGGACCTGAGTTCAACCCCTGAAACCCACTCAAAGGTGGAGGGAGGGAACTGATACCACACACAGACAGAGACACACAGACACAGACACAGACATATACACAGAGACACAGACACACATACACACATGCATGTACGCACACTCACGTGCACACACACACAGACACATAGACACACACACACAGACACATACACAGAAACAGACACACATACACACATGCATGCACGTACACTCACGTGCACACACACACACAGACACACACACATACACAGAGACACAGACACACATACACACACAGATACAGATACCACACACACACACACACACACACACACACACACAGACACACTTCCACACAAGCAGCAGTGGTCCATCCTGGGCTTCCTAGAAAGCTGGTCTTTTCCACACCAGAGCACTGGCTTTCATTAAACCCCCTACAGCAACTATTTCCTCGAGGGCCCCTTCTGTTTCTTATTTGGGGGAGGACTCAGCAGAGACATGAGTCATGCCTTCTGTCAGGCAGACGTGCGCAAAGCATGGAAGCTTACCTCATCGTCATCCATTAGGTGTTCCTGGGCAAAGCTGTACAACTCCTTCTGCAGCGAAGTCACGTTAAAGAACTGAACTGCTTCCTGCTCAGACAAAGAGAGACCAGTCAGACCTCCAGATTTCCCCTGTGAGAGCCGGGCCCACAGTGCAGGAGGAGACAGCTGATTCCCTTAAGTTGTCCTCTGACCCCCCCACATGCATGCTGCTGTGTGTCCAGGCTCACATGCATACACATGATACATACATAAAAATATAAGAAAAGAATTAAGCAGGGTGTGATGGCACATGCCTCAGATCACAGCATTCAGGAGGCAGAGGCCAGCCCAGTCTACACAGTGACTTCTGGGTCAGCCAGGGCTACAGAGTCAGGGTCTGGTTCAACAGCAACCAGAAACAGAGAGTGTCCTTTCATTTCAGAAGCCTCCTGAAGGCAGGAAGGAACGAGAGGCACCCAGTGTGGGACACTCACGGGCCTGGGCTGGAAATGCTCATCCGAGAGGCCCCAGTTGTCCCTGTGGTACTGATAGTAGACCAGATTCTGCTGCATGACCTTGTCGTTCTTGTCGAACAGCAGGTAGCTGACGGCACAGGGGACTGCGTTCTTCAGATCATTCACTGGAACAGAGAGAAAGGCTGAGCACCCCTGGAAAGCAAGCCTCACCCTGCAGCACCAGGGCTACCCCCTGCAAGGTGGAAGCTTGACCTGCCTCCAGGAAAGACCATGCCCAAGGCTTTTCCTCCAGCCCCTCCTCTAGGAAACCCTTGACCTCAGAAGGTGGGCAGCACACAGGCTACAGGGGTGGGGGTGGGGTGGAGGGTTTGGGGGAAATGGGGGGTAGAGGCCTCGAACCACCCTCAGGCTGTGCCGGCTCAGCTGCCGTCAGACAATCAGAGCCGGCCTCAGGGCCTGGGCCACACCGGGACTGAGGAAGACAGGGACTGAGTAAGACAGAGGCTGGTCAACTACAGCTTCCCTGCAGGCTGCAGCTCCTGGGTTCCATCAGGCTAGGACAGTGATACCCAGAGGAGGCGGACCCTCCTCTAACCAAACCAAACTTGGAGGACATAAAGAAGGCTGGGGGCGTAGCTCAGATGGTAGAAGGCTTGCCACAAAGCCCTGGGTTCCATGCCCAGCTCTCCATGAACCACACATAATGGCACATTCCTGGCACTCGAGATTCAAGGTCATCCTTGGCTATACTGTGAGTTTGAGGCCCGCCTGGGCTACGTGAGACTCAGTTTCTAAATAAATAAATAACATAACATAAAGACTCCAAACTCCAGAAACCAGCAAGATAAACCACGGTAGGCCCTCAGGATTGGAAGTTACCTTGTCCTGCCATCTCCTGGGTACACGGCTTCCGAACCTGCCCCAGCCCCCTGCCTAGAACTGCACCCCTACATCAGCAACAACATGGGGACTCTGCAGAGTGGCATTTGTCTTGGGAGGGAGGGGAGTCAGGCAAAGAAGAAATGAGACACAAGCCCCTGGGTATTTATTCAGGCACCTTCCACAGCCACTTCCAACCTTCACGGCAGACACCTCTATTATGCAACAAAACTCTAGTTGGCTGGGCATGGACTCAACTGTAGGTGACTCAATTGTGCCACCTGGTGGCTGTTTTCTATAACGACAGCTTTAAAACCTGAACTCCGAGGCTCTTCCCACACACACAGTCTGTGTGGCAGGTAAAGGTTTCAAATGTAATTTACAACTACGTTCAATAAATGTTCATTTTTGCTTGCACTATTTACCTACATCCCTGGAAAGCAAAGCTGTCCCAGGGAACAGGAGGAAAAACCTGGAGTCAAGCTCAGGGTCTCTGCTCTAACCAAGGGGCCACAAGGCCTCTTTGTGGACAGCATGAATGTGGCTTTGATGGGCCTTCTCAGCCACCGTAGCTGACAGGAAAGTCTTGGGACCTCACTCAAGGTCCTGCACAGGGTTACTTACACTTATAATAAGCAAACTGCAAATAGTGGTACATGGTAGCCACGAATTTCTCCACGGGATAGCCTCCTATGACTGGGGTGAGGTTCTCCTCACACTGAATCTTGCATTCCAGAACTTCTATATAATGATCTGAAAAAAAGACATAAATTCTCAGAACAGTCTCAGCCTCTCTCCTCCCCCTCCTCTCTCTCTCTCCCTCCCTCCTTCCCTCCCTCCCTCCCTTTCTCTCTCTCTCTCTCTCTCTTGGGATGAAACCCATGGCCTCACGCACTCTAGGCGTGTGCTCTACCACTCATTCAGCCTGGCCCTGTTACCACCTTCAATCCAGTTCTGCCTTCCACACACCCCAGGTGAAGGAAAAACAGAATACAACATTTAAAACACAGAACTTGGAGCTAAGGGAGAGCACTGGCTGCTCTTCCAGGGGACCCAGGTTCAGATCCCAGCACCCACATGTGATGCAAGACCGCCTGTAACTCCAGTTTCAGGGGACCACGTCACCCTCTTTCTGACCTCCACAGGCACCAGGCACACATATGGTACATAGACAAACACGCAGGCAAGGTACCCATATACAGGAAAACAAAATAATGGATAAATCAAGGGACTTCCATCTTTAGTATTCAAAGTGTCTTACGATCAGCAGGAAAATGACAAACACCTACCATAAAAATGGCCAAATAACCAGGCATTGGTGGCGCACGCCTTTAATCCCAGCATTCGGGAGGCAGAGGCAGGTGGATCTCTGTGAGTTTGAGGCCAGCCTGGTCTACAAAGCGAGTGCCAGGACAGCCTCCAAAACAGTAAGAGAAACCCTATCTCGAGAAACAAAAAAACAAACAAACAAATAAAAAATGGCCAAAGAGGGTCTGTGAATAAAGAAGATGGCTGAGTGGGTAAAGAGCCAGCCACCAAGACTGTAAACATAAGTTAAATCTTAGGAGCCCAGGGGCTGGAGAGATGGCTCAAAGGTTAAGAGCACTGGCTACTCTTCCAGAGGTCCTGAGTTCAATTCCCAGCAACCACATGGTGGCTCACAACCATCCGTAATGAGATCTGGCGCCCTCTTCTGGCCTGCAGAGATACATGCAGATAGAAAACTGTGTACATAATAAATAAATAAATCTTAAAAAAAAAATCCACGAGTTGTCATCTGATCGTATGTGCCACAGCACTGGACACCACACACACACACACACACACACACACTAATAAGTAAATAAAAGTATAATTTAAAATGTCTTAATGGCCAAAGAATGTTACTATAAATTAATATGAAGAGCGATCGAGCACTGTCGAGACGCTATGCCTCCTCTGCAGCAAGCAGAGCCACTCTTCAAACAGTTTAAACCGGAGTCTGGAGTTTAGCTCAATGGCAGCGGACTGACCTGACATACATGAGGCCCCGCATCTCACCCTCAGCACCACGAAGTCAGCAACAGCAAATTGTCAGCTTGGTAGAAAAACAACTGAGACAGTGTCTCATGTAGCCAGAGCTGGCTTCAAACCCCTGTGTAGCTGATCTCCTGGCTGGGCTAACAGGTGTGCACCACCATGACCAGATAATACACAGCTGGGAATTGAACCCGGGACTTTCGTGCATGCTAGCTAGGTAAGTCCATCAACTGGACTACACTCCCCAGCCCAAAATTACATAAATTCGTTTTGGGGTGGGGCGTGTTTCAAGACAGGGTTTCTCTGTGGCTTTGGAGGCTGTCCTGGAACTCGCTCTTGTAGACCAGGCTGGTCTCGAACTCACAGAGATCCACCTGCCTCTGCCTCACGAATGCTGGAATTAAAGGCGTGCGCCACCAAAGCCCAGCTTTCCTTTGAGATTATAATGAACATGGTCACACCACAAGTAAGGTCAGAAATAGGACAGAGAATGCTCTGAAGCCTGTGATCATTAAAAACGACTGGTGTGTAACTGTGTAAAACAACTGTGTAAAAAAACAAAAAACAAAACAACAAAAAAATCTTATCCTGAGCATTCCAGTAACTTTTTTTTTGTATGTACCTAGCTGTACTATAAGTAGTTGCTATTTTATTTTATTTTATTGGCCTGTTTGATATATGTGTGAAACAATGCCCAACAATAAACCAGAATTTTATCTTATTAAGTTGTCCTAAAATAAAAAAGAAAAGAAAAAGCAAATGTCTCTCCTATCTTATAAAAGTGCTCCTTGCTCTTTTTCGTGGTGTCTCCCAGACTGTGTCAGGATGAAGCTGAGCGTCTCCTTCCCTGGCACTGGCTGTTAGGAATTCACTCAAGTGGACGACGACACAAGCTTCGTGCGCTCTATGGGACACGCACGGCCACAGAAGTAGCTGCTGACGCTCGGGAGAGACGGGAAGGTTACCCGTGGCCTGAATCAGCGCTGGGAACGACAGACAAGGTTTTCCCAGGAAGAAAAAGTGTTTTGGCCAAGGCAGAGTGTGCCTGCTGTTGAGCAGGGGACATTCTTGTTATAGACCACGGAGAACTTAGAGAGGAAGCCCAGGCCTGTTAACGGATGCATTGCAGACGCCATTCTGAGTGTTCTTAACTTAGTTATTGTGAAAAATAAAAAGGAGAGAAGGCGATTCCCGTATGTTCGGTTGTGAGCCTCGCCTTTAACAGCTGAGCCATCTCTTCAGCCCGAGAAGGATATTCCTGGGCTGACATCAGTCAGTTGGGACCTAAAAGAGTTAGCAGAATCTGAAAGCTTTTTGATCTCTCTAAAGAAGATGATGTCCGCCATTCTTTGTCAGAGAGCCCTCAAAGAAGGTCAGAAGCCCAGGACCAAAGCGGCCAAGATTCAGCGTCTTGTTAGTCCACGTGTGTGCAACACAAACACGGACGCACTGCTCTGAGGAAACAAACATGCTAAGAAAACAAGAGGAGGCTGCAGAACACGCTAAGCTTTTGGTCAACGGAATAAAGGAAGCCAAAGAAAAGCGCCAGGAGCAGATCGCCAGGAGGCGGAGGCTGTCCTCCTGAGAGCTTCTTCTCTGAGTCTGAGCCCAGTCAGAAAGAGTCTTTAAGGGTAACAAATAAAAAAATCACACCTTGAAAAAGAGAGAAAAGGGTTCCTCAGACGCCCCCACCCACCACCGACCTGCTATGGACAGGTAGAAGTCCTTGAAGTCCTTGATCTCCCTGGAGCCCTCGCAGGAAGCCAGGCACTCATAAAAGGCTCTGAAGAAGTCAGGGAGCGCCAGTTCCATGTCTGTGATGGAGGTCCTCCAGTTCTCCCCGTTGTAGGCCCGCACCGCCCGGACAAACAGGTTCTGGAAAGCACGGAGATGCAGTGACGCTCCCTGGCTTGTCCATCCCCCAGCCCCCCAAAAGAACCATGACCCTGACTGAGTCATGCTCCCTCCGTCCTGGATGACCCTTGACTCGCTGCAAACCAAGCACCGCGCACGTGTGTGAGGATTTGCCTACATTGTTCACGAGAGGTACATTCTTTAAAAAAACAGAATCTAGTGTAACCCAAGCTGACTTCAAACTCCTTGAGTAGCTGAGGACAACCCTGATCCCTCTTAAAAGATTTGGTTTTACAGTCTACTTAGTGTGGGCTTACGGAGGCGGTTCTCTCCTACCACGCTGAGTCCTGGGGATCAAACTCGGGGAGATCCCTTGGCTTGGCAGCAAAAGCCCTTACCCATTTTGCCAGCCCAACCTCGAACTTCTGGAATCACAGGTGTGCACCCCCACACCCCGTTTTATACAACACTGGGGACTAAGATCAGGGCCTTGTGCATTTAGGCAAGTGCTCTATCAACTGAGCTGTACCCCCGGCCCAAATGACTATATTTTTTCTTTAGTTCAACTCAAGATATAGCAAGTGGCCGGGCGTTGGTTCAAGACCAGCCTGGTCTACCGAGTGAGTTCCAGGACAGAGTCCAATTTTGTCTCAAAAAAAACCAAAAAAAAAAAAAGAGATATAGCAAGTGTTTGAAAGTCAAATTCAGACCAAGGGAAAGGAGAAGAAATCAGATCACTGGCTCCCTGGAGTCAGGGCTGGGTAACGGCATGAATAGAAAAGGGAACTTGTCAGGCTGGGTGATAAAGAAACGCCTCACCGTGCTCTGTGTAGCTGTCATGTGACAAACGAAGTTGTCACAAATCACTGAATGAATCAAAGTTCACCAACCAACGGTGGTGCACGTAGCCCAGCCTGGCTTTGAACTCGCAGCAACCATCAATGCCTCAGCCTCCCAAATGCTGGAATTCCAGGCAAAAGCCACCATGCCCAATTTGCTGTTTTTCCTTCATGGAAATGTTGTGCTCAGCAGGTTTCCTACTGTTACAATTCAGCAATATCAATGAAAACATCTTTAGATGTCAGCATCTGGACCAGAAAGATGGCTCAGTGGATAAAGGCACCAAGCCTGAGGACCTGAGTTCAATCCCCAGACCAGCATGGTCACAGAAGGGAAATACACATTGTCCTCTGACCTCTACACAAGCGCTCTCTCTCTCTCCCTCTCCCTCTCCCTCTCCCTCTCCCTCTCCCTCTCTCTCTCTCTCTCTCTCTCTCTCTCTCTCTCCCTCTCCCTCTCTCTCTCCCTCTCCCTCTCCCTCTCCCTCTCTCTCACACACACACACCAGATAGACATACACACACCTCTCTCTCTCTCTAATTAAAACATGATTAAAAATAAAAAAAGATGCTAGCTGTTCCCAGAGACATGTTTCTTCAACACACCCTGTTGCACCCACGGGGGTGAAGCCAGAGCGTACCTCATACGACTTGGTTTCCAGGTCTTTAATGTGGTCCTCAGCTCCAGGCAAGCTCTTGTAATAAGCCATGTTTCTCTTCATCATCTCATCGTCGGGATGCTTCAGCAGATAGGTGTGAGCCGCAGCGATGGCCTTCGGGAGGTCATTGGCCTGCGTGCACGGTGAGGGGTAACAGCTCAGACACACGCTGAGCCTTGAGTTTAGAACTGAGAGCTTCGTTTCAGGAACTGCCCTTTCTTTCAGCCTCACCCTCTCCGTCCCTCTCCTTCCTTTCTTCCTCTCAACCCAGTCTTGCTGCGATCAGGCTGGCCTCAAGGCTGAGGATGGCCTTGAACTTCTGCCTTTACCCCCCAAGTGCTGGGAATCACAGGCATCCATGGATACACCCAGCTTTATTTGTTGATGGGGCTCAAACCCAGGACTGCTGCATGCCAGGCAAGTACTCTGCCAGCTGAGCTACAGCACCAGCCTCTTCGGGGAGCCCTTCCGTTCCTTCTATACCTAAATAACACTTCCGGTTAAGAGGTCAATGACTTTTCAAGGCCTATCAAGACCTGCGCCAGCCATTCTGACGAACCTTTGTCCCCAGAGGTTGACAGTGCGATGTCTTCATTATGCCCTTCCTCATTTACTCCCCCATTGTCCCCACCATCTAGGCCCCAGGAAGATGGTCTCTGTGGCATTTGTAGAAGTCTCTTTGATTTTTCCTCACATATCTCTCTAGTGCTGGGATTAAAGGTGTGAGCTCTGTTACTCTTTTAGCCTGATCCACTCTATGTAGCCCTGAGTGGCCTTGAACTCACAGAGATCCATCTGCCTCTGTCTCCTGAATCCTGGGATTAGATGTATGTGCCACCACTGCCCACCTTCTGTGGTTGACTAGTGTGGCTGGCTTTGCATTCTGATCCTTCCGGCAAGCTTTAGCAAACCGTAAGCAATACATCACCACACAGGCTGACACCTAGAGAATGACAGTAGGTGGCCTGTGGCTGATCGGACTTGTGGGGAGGCCTCGGCTGGCAGCTAGTGAGAAAGGAGGGCTCCGAGTGCAGCCAATGGCGTGAGACTCGATCTAGGAAACACATTTAGGAAGAGGCGTACAAGGGCCAGCAGATGGGTAAAGGTGCTTGCCACCAAGCTGGATGGCTAACTCTGAAGCCTGGAGCTGACATGCTGGGAGAAAGCAGGCTCCCAACAAGCTGTCCTCTGACCTTCACACATGCAGAGTGTGTGCCACCAGTGCCCCCACGCATAAACACACACGCAAAGTAAGAGCAAAAGGGAAAAAGTCCTTCTTAACCAGAGAAAAGCAGAAACCGGGTTTTGAGAGCTCTCTCTCTGCCCAGCCCTGTGAAGGTCCAAACTAGCTGCGGCCTTTCTGTCCAGCAACTGGGATTTCAGACCTCCCAAGAAGGACATAGAGGGAGGGAACTGCAATCTCCGGCTATTTTTAGCAAGCAATCAGAGGCAAAATTTAAGCAGCCGTACAGAGGAGGCAACGAACTGTGTGTTAAATTCTAACTGACCGAGAGAGAACAGGGAAGAGCCTGGAGAATCTCAGGGCACACGTTTCTCCGAGCAGAGAGGAGCCTGCTCCAAAGAGCAGGCCACAGTACGAAGCCCTCTTTCCAATTCCAGGTACTCTTTCTGGGGCATCCTGGGGCATCTTTGCCGCCTTAGAACAGGCTGTAACAATTTTCACAGGAGCGGGGAGGGGTAGAGCGTGCAGGACGCATGCAGGCAGGAGGAGGAAGAGTTCACCCTCAGCCTCAGCAGCGTAGCAAGTCTGAGACTGCCCAGGTTACATGAGGCCACGCCTCAAAAAGGAGAAAAAGAATTTTCATGTTCAAGATGAGGGAAGAAGGGCAGTGCTGTGGAACAATCTTTTTGTACACTGTGAATATGTGCTGCTTGCTCTCATTGGTTTAACAAAGAGCTAATTGGCCAATAGTGAGGCAGAAAGAGGTTAGGCGGGACTTGTGGAGACGGAGAAGGGGGGGGCAGAATTGAGAGGAGACACAGAGAGAAACAAGATGAAAATGCCCTACTGCAAAAAGGTACCACCACGTGGCAAAGCATAGATAAGAAATATGGGCTAAACTGGTGTACGAATGGATTTTGGGAGCCCATTCCACATGGAGGGATGCGCTCTCAGCCTGGACACATGGGGGAGGGCCTAGGCCCTGCCCCGGATGATATGACAGACTTTGGGGATCCCCCATGGAGGGCCTCACCCTCCCTGGGGAGTGGAGGGGGGATGGGGTAGGAGTCGGTGGGGGGCGGGGGAGGAGGGGAGGAAGAGGGAGCTGGGATTGACATATAAAGCAGGCTTGTTTCTAATTTAAATTAAAAAAATTAAAAAAAAAGAAATATGGGTTAAAGAAATCGGGTTAATTTAAGGCGTATCAAGCCTAAGCTATTGACTAAGCATTTACAATTAATTATAAGTCTCTGTGTGGAGAGCGGGCGCCCCAACGTAAAATTCCACCTACAGGGCAGGATTTGAGAGCTTTAGCGGAGCTGACTGGTAGAACCTGGGTGAAGGGGACTGGAGCCATGTCTCAGTGGATAAGGGCACTTCCTGCTCTCCCAGAGGACCCAATGTCGGTCCCGTGCTCTCCCTGCCCTCCTCCACCCCCCCTCACTCAGGTTACATTGAGTGGCTCACAACCTCCTCTAAATCCAGCTCCAGAGTATCCACTGCCCTCTTCTGGCCTCCAAAGGCATTCACACATGTGGCATGGTACACACACACACACACACACACACACACACACACACACACACACATATGCGCGCGCGCGCGCGAGAGAGAGAGAGAGAGAGAGAGAGAGAGAGAGAGAGAGAGAGAGAGAGAGAGAGAGAGAGAAAGGAAGGAAGAAAGAGAAAGATTCATACGATACAGGAATGATGCCCCAGGTTTTAGGAAAGGGCAGATCGGATCCTTGGGCATAGTGGGTCTAGACCTAGAGCGGTGGCCTAGGGGAGGCCCAATATAGCTGTTGCTGGCGGGTGCTCACAAGGGTGGGACTCAGTGGGCAGGGTGGAGCTCGGTGGGGGGAGGCTCACAGGGATAGGGTGGAGTCTGGGGGTGGCATGGAGGGGGGCTTGGTGGGGTGGGGCTGGGGCAGCCCTGAGGCAAGGCTCTGTGGCTCTGGACTCCACTGCAGAGATGGAGACCTTTGGAGGTGAATGTGGTTCCGGGAACTGGGCTCAACTGGGCGGGGCTCAGCTGAGGTGGGTCTTGGGACAAGATGGGGACCCAGTGGGACCCTGATCAGGGTGACTGTGGGGAGGAACAGATGTAATGGGCGGGGCTTGTGTGGGCGGGGCTCAGGCGAGGGGCGGGGCTCATCGGGACTGGAGGCCTGCTGGGCGGGGCTGGGGTGGGGCGGGAGTGGATTGGCAGCGGGGTCAGCTAGGCGGAACTTAAGGAGGGGTGGTCGGTTCTAATTCAGCCGGAAGGGGCTCGGATGGGCGGGGCTCAGGGGCGGGGGCCTGAGCCCGATAGGGTGGGGCTCTGTGGGCGGAGCTTCGCGGGGCGGGGCTCGGGGGTGGGGCGAGCGCACTTACCTTAAAGTACGCGAACTGCAGGAACTTGTAGGGCTCGCGCTGCTGAAAGTCGGCCAGCACCGCGCGGCTGGGCTGCGACTGGCGGAAGGCGGGCAGGCCCTGCTTGCAGCGCTTGAGACACTGCGCGCGGCGCAGCACGCCGCCGAAGAGGCGCAGCTCGGCGTGGCTGGCGGGGCCGGCGGGCGCGGGCGGGGCGGCGCTGCAGTTGCGGTGGCAGAAGGCCTCGCTGTCGCGCAGCAGACGGTGCAGCCGCAGGCTCACCTCCAGGTAGCCCACGCTCTCGGCCCAGTGCTCGCCGCCGTACTGGTCGAGCGCGTGGCGGTAGGCCGACTCGAGCGGCATCAGCTCGTCCCGCGGGAAGCTGCGGAAGCTGTAGCGCTCGTACTGCGCGAGCCCCGGTGGCAGCGCGCACCCGGCACACAGCAGCATCAGCCACGCGGCCGCAGGGCTGCGGGACCCCATCGCGCGCGGCCCGCACACCCGAGCCCGGAGCGGAGGACGAGCGACGCGGCAGGCCCGGGAGGGGAGGCGGGGACGCCGGCCGTGGCCCGCCCCGTCCGGCAGATCTCCCCGCCCGGGGACCCACATGGGCGTGATCTGGGGAGGAGCTCAGCCCACGAATCTGAGAGGTGGAGACGGAGGACCTAAGCGAATTCTAGGCCAGCCTGCGGTACATGGGACCCCATCTCTGAAAGGAAAGAAAGTTTATAATCACTTGAAGGATGTATGGACCACGCGCTCCTAGTTTCTGATTCAGCACATGCGGGTTGGGGGTTGTTGTTTTTTTCTCCAACTGGGTCTCTTGCTGTAGCCCAGGCTAGCCTTGAACTCACTTTATAGTCTTGACTTTAAATTTACTGCAGTCCTCCAGTCTCGCCGCTGCTGGGAGTCACAGGCATTCGCCACCAAGCCTGCCCTGAACAACTGGGGTTTCAGGTTTACAGATCATACTTTGAGTAGCAACACCACTGACCTAAGGTTTTAGAAGATGTTGCATAGATAAAATCAGTAAGGATGCTGGTGGCTCTTTGTAAATCGTGTTACTTGTCGGACTGAAATGCATTGCATCTTAGGAGGGACTATGCTGGAGAAATTTGTACGTGAGCAATGATGAAGACAGCATCTTAACAATCTTTACACTTTTGAAATTATTTACAGAAAGGTTATAGGGACAGAAACCAAAATTCCTATATATGCCCCTTCATGAAAATTCACAAATTGACTGGCACGCTCTTCATCTGAGCACTTAGAAGGTATGGGACAGTGAATTCTCTGGGTTCCAGGGCAGCCCAGACTGCATACTGACACCTGGGCTGTCCTTTGGCCTCCACATGTGTGCTGTGGTACCTGAGTGTGCTGCTCTGCGTCAGTGGGGCCAGGAAAACCATGTTCTTTGCGAGATTAAGACAAAAATCTCTCCCTCCTTTTCCATGCCAAACTTTCTGAGCTATTCAGGACTAAGATTAGATGACTATTAGATTAGAATAGGAGGGATCAGAAATGTGATTAAATAGAGCACATTCTTGGGTTAATGATGCCAACGAAGAGTTGGCCTTCTTGTATGTGTCATGGTCACCCCTTATCTCCAATCCTAATTAATTAATAATGGACTGCAGAGATGCTCAGTGGTTAAGAACGTTGGCTTCCCTTCCAGAGGTCCTGGGTTCAGTTCTCAGCACTCACATGGCAGCTCAGAACCTTCTGTAACTCGAGTCCCAGGACACTGATGCCCTCTTCTGGCCTCACCAGGCACACACTTGGTGCACCATGCAGGCAAAACACCCATACACATAAACTCTTAAAAAAACATCAGAAGGGCTCAGTGGTTGAGTACTTAGCTGACATGTGTGAGGTCCTAGGCTGAGTCCTGAGAACTGAGGGTCTTTGTGCTCCTTTCTGTATGCTGCTGTGTTAAAACATCATGTCTGAAAGCAACTTGGCAATAAAGTAGTTTTTTTCCCTTACAGGTGTAGTCCAGCAGCAGCAGCCAAGGTGGGAATCTGGAGGCAGGAACTGAAGAAGCCTTGGAGGAATGCTTGCTCTCCGTGGCAACCTACTCAGAGCCGGCACTCAGCCCTCCCACAACAATCATTACAGAAGAAAATGTCCCCACAGGCTTGTCTACAGGCCAGTCTGACAGTGGCATTTCCTCGGTTGACTGGCCCCTCTTCCCAGATGACTCTAGTTTGTGTCAAGTTGACAAAACAAAACTAAACAACAACAAAAACAAAACAAAACAGGGGGCTGGAGAGATGGCTCAGAGGTTAAGAGCACTGACTACTCTTCCAGGGGTCCTGAGTTCAATTCCCAGCAACCACATGGTGGCTCACAACCATTTGTAGTGGGATCTGGTGCCCTCTTCTGGCCTGCAGGCATACATGCAGACAGAATATTGTATACATAATAAATAAATCTATAAAAAAGATTGACTTATTAAAAATAATAAAAAATAAAAAACAGCACAGTGTTCTGTTGCTGTGATTAAACATTGGCTGGAAGCAACTTAGAAAGTGTCTACTTGGCCGGGCGTTGGTGGCGCACGCCTTTAATCCCAGCACTCGGGAGGCAGAGGCAGGCGGATCTCTGTGAGTTCGAGACCAGCCTGGTCTACAAAGTGAGTTCCAGGACAGCCTCCAAAGCCACAGAGAAACCCTGTCTCGAAAAACCAAAAAAAAAAAAAAAAGAAAGAAAGAAAGAAAGAAAGTGTCTACTTGGCTTGTACTTCCAGGTCATAACCTTGAGAGAAGTCAGGACAGGAGTTCAAGGCGGGAACCATGGAAGACTGCTTGTTGGCTCACGCTTACCTGGCTTTCTTTTCTTTCACTTTCAAATATTTTTTGTTTATTTTTAGACAGGCTCTCACTCCTGGCTGGCCTGGGTATACTATTTATAGTTTATTAAAGCTTGCCTGAGGATTCAGAAAGCAAAATCAGCCACAAGCCATAGAAGCCAAGCACACACCTTATCCCAGGACTCAGGATCAAGAGGTAGATGGGTCTCTGTTAGTTCAAGGCCACACTGAGCTATAGGAAATTGTTCCAGTCCTAGAGAAACAGCTCACACAAAGATGATCTCAGCACTTGGGGATCACACGCTTTTAGAGGAGGCATTTAAGGCAGGAAGAGGTCTTAGAGCTGACATTCATTCTCCAGCCACATTTAGGATAGGAGGGATTGATTTCCAGCCACACTGAGTAGCCTGAGGCTTGGTGAGAGCTCGTGGAGACAGGATCAGCCCTTTCAGCCTGAGGTAGAGGTAAGAGATAGTGGCTCTGCTGCTTTGCTTTTCTGATCTTCAGCGTGAAGCTTGAACCCCATTGTCTGTCTCTGGGTCTTTTATCTTGTGCATAGAAAACCACTATGATTATTCAGAGTGACTGGCAGCTGCAGATGTGGCTGTCAGCGCAGAGTTGGGTCAGCCTAAGGAACCTTCCTGAAGCAGAAACAGCAGGACATGGGGACAGACCAAACATACCAAGAAACTAACCTGCCAAAAGACCCAAGACAAACCTTAAAGCGTGTGGCACCAGGGAGCACATACTCCCTACACACAGGAAAATGAGAACATTGGGAAGAACGGTGATGGTGGCAGCCATTTTGCCCCCACTCCCCAGGCCTCCCATGGGTCCTTGTGTGTCCTCAGGCAGCTCAGACGCCTAAAAGGACACATGTGCATGAAGACATCCCAGAAGCCTTCCCTGTCATGTGCACAAGCTGGTTCCTGGCACATGACCATCAACTTACTGGGTTGCTTATTTCACAATTTTATCTTTTCATTGCTTTATAACTGAGCCCCTGGTTTGGTTGCACAACTTAACCCCGAGATGTGGAGCTCATGATTTCCTTTGTCAGAAACTTAAAGATGAGAGAAAGATAAGAAAAGGACTGTGGAGCCGGGCGTTGGTGGCACACACCTTTAATCCCAGCACGCAGGAGACAGAGGCAGACGGATCTCTTCAGGCGACTGGCAAGTGCCTTCGCCACTGAGCTGTCATTCCTGCCTTGAATTTGTTTTGAACACCTCATTCTACATCTGGGCTGTCTTTAAACTTGCAGTCCTCTTACTCCAGCCTTACAAGTCCCAAGTGTACAGGTGGGAATCACCATGCCTGGCTTATTTAGGTATTTACCTTTAAAGTAACTTTTAATTTTATAGTGTGTGTGTGTGTGTGTGTGTGTGTGTGTGTGTGTGTGTGTGTGTATCTGTATGTGGGGTTCAGAAGCCGACATCTGGTGTCTTATTCAGTCACTTGTTTTGTTGTGACAAGGCCTTTTAAAGCTGGAGCTCACTAACTTGGCAAGGTCGACTGGCCAGAGGGGCCCAGAGACTCTCTGATGTCTGCCCCCATCCTGGAATTATAAAGATGTTGAGTGAAGGGACCAGACCCTCACTCAGCCCCTGCTTTAGTAGTCATGACAGGCTACAGAAAAGACATGAAGGCCTTTGACACAAGGAAACTCCAGATCCTCTGGGCTCCTGGAGTCTAGGACCCAAACTGAACACAAATAAACTCCAGAGCCACACCCATCCTCCTAGATACTTGGTTCCTGGGAACTGTTTGGTCACAAAAGAAACTCCAGAGGAGACCAAAACCTCCCCTGGAGTCTCCAGGATACAGTTCTGAAAACTATTGGCATCTATGAACAACAGGCCGCCTGCAAGTAACAAGACAAAGCCGTAGAAGCCATAGAATGTTCCCTCTCAGCACTGACCAATGAAAATAATTGGTACACAGGTATTTCATGCCAAACTATGACTAAAAAATTCCCCTAATTGTTCCCAAATGTCAGCCGATCAGAAACCAACCCATACCTACTGATGTAATCCTGTAACTTTTGTCTATAAAACCTAGCAGTAGACAGGGAACTTCGCTCCCTCTGGAGGCTGCTGGGACAGCTAGCCAGGCGGGGTCCCTGACATGGTTGGATGAACAATAAAACCTTGCTTTTGCAGTTTGATGGGTCTGTCTCCCTGGTGGTCTCTGGGTATCTTTGCAACTTGGGCACAACTCTTTTTTTTTCTTTTTGCAATGTGATTTCTAAAGACTCAAAATCAGGAAGTCCTCCTGTTTGTGTGACACGCACTTTACTGACTTCCAATTTTGATATAAGAGATCCTGTGTGTCCTGGCAGAAACTGAAGCAAAAGAATTGTTAATGAGTTCAAGGTCAACCTGGGCTACACAGCAAGATTAAAAATTTAAAAACCACCATCAAAAGAACTCCTGTATGCCAGATGATACAGATATAGATAGGACTGGGGAGATGACTCCGCAGTTAAGAGCACTGGCTGCTCCTCCAGAGGACCCAGGTTCAATTCCCAGCATCCACGTGGCAGCTCACAACCATCTGTAACTCCAGTTCCAGGGGATATAACACACTCTTCAGGCTTCATTGAGTACTAGGCACTTATGTGGTATACAGACATATATGAAGGCAAAATATTCATATACAAAAAAATAAATCTAAAAATAAATATGGAATGCTTGACAAACGTTTGTGTCACCCTTCGCCAGGAACTATGCTAATCTCTGTATGGTTTCAATTTTGGTGTATATACTGCCAAAGCAAGCACTCTTTTTTTGTTTTTGTTTTTTTCGAGACAGGGTTTCTTTGTATTGCTTTGGAACCTATCCTGGAACTTGTTCTGTAGACCAGGCTGGCTTCGAACTCACAGAGGTTCGCCTGCCTCTGCCTCCGTGCTGGGATTAAAGGTGTGCGCCACCAATGCCTGGCAAACAAGCACTCTTATACTTACAAAAAGAAAAGATTGTATTTTTCTTTTTGTTTCCATACGTGTGTCTGTGTCTATCCACAAGATTGAGGACGCCTGGGCTACATGATACCCTGTCTGAAAACTAATAATAATAAGGTATTAATCACATTTCAACTACAATAAAAAGTAAAGTGCTACAGTGTCAGAAACAAACACAACCTGCCTGCTCCTGGTGTGCCTTGGATCCCAGCACTCGGGAGGCAGAGGCAGGTGGGTCTCTGAGTTAGAGGCCAGCCTGGTCTACAGAGCAAGTGCCAGGACAGCCTCCAAAACAATACAGAGAAACCCTGTCTCAAAAAACCAAAACCAAAACAACAACAACAACAAAAAAACCCAACAAGGGGCTGGAGAGATGGCTCAGCAGTTAAGAGCAGTTAAGGCTTCTGCTCTTCCAGATGTACTGAGTTCAATTCCCAACAACCACCCACATTGAGATCTGGTGCCCTGTTCTGTCATGCAGGCATACATGGAAGCATGTAGACATAATAAACAAATCTTGAATAAAAAAAAAGCAGAATAGTCACCCCACATACCCACTGTAATGATCAAATTAATAAATCAACAACAACAACAAAAAACCAAACCTTTTTAAAAAACAGATAAGGTCTCACGTAAACCAAGCTGACCTTGAATTCTCTATACAGACAATGATAACCTTTAACTTCTGCTCCCCTTGACACCACCTCCCAAGTGAAAAATATTACTTAATCCTTTGTGGGTCATTATCAAACAAGAACACTAGCCAGGAAGTTATGGTGCACACCTTTAATCCCAGCACTGGAGAGGCAGAGGCAGTCGGATCTCTGTGAGTTTAAGGCCAACTTGGTCTACAGAGTGAGTTCCAGGGCAGCCAAGGCTACACAAAGAAACCCTGTCTTGAAAAACTAGCTAACAATAATGAACAATGAAAATGACTTTGAGATATGGTGTTATCTAGTCAATGGGTCGAATTCTTTACACAACCACTCGCCCGCCATGTTGTCTGTGCAGCCTTCCAGATACTCATCAGTCTGGTGACGACCTCCATGACTAAGTGAATTTCATATTCTAATCTCTATCTCAGCAGAGCACGAACTAAGGATAATCAGGGGTGGGGACTCCAGTGAGGCAGCTTTTGTGGGTGACCGATCATGTCTTTGCCACGGTGCGGCTGTCGCCGAGTAACAGGCGCGTCTGTTTGTAACCCTAGTAAACTCTGGTTCACCAAGATGTACTTGGATGGAACCATTTCTGTGGGTTGACACCATGTCTGTGTGAATAGGCATTTGTCCACCAGTCCTCCAGGAGAAATGAGATAATAAATCAGTTCCCCCAAAGCAACACTGTGGGAGCCTGTATATTGGAAATCTATTCCATCTGAGAGCTCAAGGCACTCCTATTGTGTTTAAGATATTAGCTGACTACAGGATGCCCTGGCCTCAGTGGTGAGTGACTCCTATCTAAATGACCTCAGACCTAGGCCCAGGCCAGTTTACACTCACCCTGAAGGCTAGGTGATGTGTGCAGCTTTGTAGTGCCTGAAGACCAATTGGAACTGCAGCTAGCAGTGCCTTTAGGATTAAGGGGGTAATTGCTCTCTGTCCTTTATACATAAGAGAAGTCTTCTGCCATTGTCCCCGCTTTTGGTTGGTTACTTAAGATGACGTGTGAATAAACCGGGCGGTGTTCAGTATTGACTGAATCTGCCCTCCTGACACTACTATCCCATGCCTCTGTCTCTCCTTCACTACCTATAGCTAACCCTTTCCCTCATCCACACTCCCCCACCCGGGGGCTGTTCGACTGGTCGGGATCACAGCCCCGCAAACACCAGTCCTCAACTCGCGGCTCCCGAGCGCGGGGCTAACCCAGACAGCCCCGCGACTCAACACAACAGAACCACGGTCGGTGGCTGCACACCGGAACTGGGTGACAAATCCGTCTTGCCCAAACATTACATCCTCTGGTTGCAGGACACGGAGACTTGGGCAGAGCTGGGGGCCGGCACACACAGTACCGGTAGGAAAGAATGGTCGCGGGTCGGTCCTGCTCAGTCCCGGATCTCACTCGCCACATCACCGACACGTGGGCAAGGCATTCACTCTACTTGCAGAAGTGTCATGACAGTTATGGGTGCACCCAACTTCTTTCGGTTGGATTTAGGACCGCACCCACTCCGAGTTGGAAACTCAAGTTTGGTACGGTATGCCAGGGCAAAACCCTGGGGCTGGCTACTGGTCCGCACCAGCGGGTGGCTAAGGCTGTCGTTTCGGTAGATGGGCGACCGCTGGTCTTTACATCCAATCAGGGATTTTCAGCTGAGGTCCAGGGAAACTCTTTTCTGGAATGGGTGGAGGTGATTGCGGAGACTGATGACCAGTCAGGCTCTTGGGGATAGACAGGCAGCTGTTGTTTTTGGTGATCAGGAAAGAATCATATCTGCATTCCCCCCCCCAAGACTGAACTTGACTGAAGAGGCAGCAGAAAGAATTTAAGAGCTGGAGGAAGGGGTGGAGGGCTGTGGTGTCACAGTTTCCTTCTCAAATGATTGTGGTCGTCATCAGGAAGCAGAAGTCGCTGAGGGGATCGAACGATACTTGGGTCTTGCAGCCACAGAGCGAACTAAGCAAAGCCGTGACAGGGAGGCGTCCTTCACCTGGGGTTCCGGATGCCACTCCTCCCTGCAGCCGGCTCCTCAGGATCTTGGGGAATGCTGAGTGCACAAGATGAGGAAGGTTGAGCAGTCCAGACCCTGTGATACATTCCTCAGCAGTCTGTGGGCGGGCGGCACGCTTCTCTGATACAGCTGCTTTTCAGTCACCCAGGCTCCTGTAATTAACCCCAGTAAAATCAATCATCTACCAAGCTTTACTTGGAGGGAACCATTTCCACAGGTCGTCAGGCTTTCCCAACAAGAGCAGTAACCTGCTGTGCCATATCCCTGGCCAAGAAACGCTTATTCTGCACATTAAAATGTGAAGGAAGAAGCTGGGCGATGGTGGCGCCCGCCTCTAATACCAACCCTCTAGAGGCAGAGCCAGGCACATCTCTGTGTTCAGAGGCCAGCCTGGTCTACAGAATGAGTTCCAGAACAGCCAGGGCTACAGAGAAATTCTGTCTCAGAAAAACAAAACAAAACAAAACAAAAATGGAAGGAAGACTTTTCTCAGTTGTTGAAATAGGGGTTGGCACCATCACAGTAGGAGGGTCTAGCTGGGCCCTAAGCAGAACATACAATTCAGAACACGTAGCAGTGTGCGAGTGAGGGGCTTAGTGAGTGGAAAATTACTAAGAAGAGACATCGGATCCAGGGACGTCTATCTAACCTCTTATTTGTGGCAATTCTCCTGCTCCAGGTGAGAAAAGGACATTAGATTCTCATCTGTCAAAATAATGTAATTTAACTACGCATTTACTTATCAAAGAGAATGTGGCAGTTGAGCTAGGTGGTGTACACCTTTAATCTTAGCATTTGGGAGGCAGAGGCAGGCAGCTCTTCCTAAGTTCAAGACCAGCCTTTTCTACACAGAGAGTTTCGGGGCAGCCAGGGCCACATAATAGAGACCCTGTTCTCTAAAACCAAAAACAGAACAAAAACTGTAGTAGGTTCAAGGACAGATCCTGTTTTTTTTTTTAACTTACATTAAAGAAGAGCAGCTTTATTTAGGATATTTACTTATTTGTACATTACATGAATGTATATGTTCATGTGTGTATTTGTATGTGTACATGTGGAGGTCAGAGGGTACACAGAGAGAAGCTGTCTCAGAAAATAAAGATAAGAGAAAACAAATAAAGAAATGAACAAAATAGGGATTTTTGTTCATTTATAGGCCCAATAGTAGAGTGCTTGCCTGGCATTAATGAGGACCTGTGGTCAACCGCAGCACTGTAAAAATAAATAAAATACATAAATAAAAATGAGACAATGCCTAAAATAAATGAGTATTGTTATAGATGACACCTCATTAAAGCTGGAAAATCCCAAGTATGTATATTTAAATCAACCTCACTTAAACCAGAGGAGATGACTCCCGACTGTAATTCCAGCACTCAGGAGAGAGTAGATCAGAGGTTACAGGTGTGCAGGGCTGTGGTCTCACCAATAAATTCAGGGCGGCCTGAGGCTGGCAGTTCAAAATAACTTCACGTAGCTGAGTTACACTTAGAATTCCTCAGTAACGTAGCGCAGCGCTTCTGCAACTTTAGCTTGCACTGAAACTCGGGTCTTGTCTTTGGGTCTGTGTTTCAGGGCTCCCGGGCTGGGGACCAGAGTGTGCCTTTTCCAGGTGGGGTGTCTGTGGACCCCACCTCGTGAGTGTTAGACCGCGTGCCAGGGACGGCTTAGGGGCTAGGCGTCTACTGTCGGGAGCATTCAGGACTGGCAGTTTTCCTCTTCCCTGCTCAGTTCTTTCCTGATAGCCCGGACAGCCTGACGGTCCCCAAGGATGACCAGCCCCAGCGCTTAATCAAGGCTAATTCAGGGGAACCGCCATTCAGATGCGGGAAGTGATTAGACCACAGGGCTCCGGCGTCACGTAGCCGGGAGAGGCTGGGTCTGCGCTCCGAGCGCAGAGCCGCGGGGCGGAGCGGGGCGGGGCTGGGGCGGGTCCTCCCGGGGCGGGTCCAGGCTGAGGGTCCTCAGCCCCCCTGAGGTGGAGCGGCTGGCCAGAGCGCCCACGACCGAGTGGCGGGATCCTACCCGATCGCCGTCATGCTCCGGGCCCCGCTGTGCACGCTGCTCCTGCTATCCGCATCGGCGCTGCTGGGCGCCGCGCACGGCGTCTATGTAAGTCTTCGGTGCCACCGCGCGGGGACGCACCGCCGCTGGGAAGCGGCCAGAGGCCGAGGAAAGCCTTGGCTCTGCAAAGCGGGCATCCCGGGGACCCTCGGTCACCCCTCGGAACAGGCAGGCCGCCGAGGCGCAGGCAGTGGCCAGGCCTCCCGTAGGGGGCGGGCCGGCCGGCCGGCCGGGCGGAGCGCGCGTCCTTCCTGGTTGCTGGCGCGCGTGGGTTCCGCTGCGGCGGTGCTCTGCGCGCGGACTCGCTTCCCCGTTTGTGCAACTGCATCGGGGGCTGACTTTGAGGTGCTCCCGCATCTTTCCAGCTTCGTTGTCTGGGGAGAGGGGCTCCAGGCTGCGCGGGGCGCGATCCTTGGGGAGTTCGGGCTTCACGGAGCGCTCCGGAAGGAGAAAAATGGGGTCAGGAGAGGCTCCTGCAGTGGGGTCACAGGAATATTTGCATTCGGGGACACCTCCCTTCTCAAACATCTTGTACGCTTCTCGCTAGCCACCTGCTGGCCGCTTTTAGTTTGGGGTGTTCATCGCCTTGCTGGGAACCTTTCCTCTTTTAGGGTGGAAAGGGTGGAAAAGAGGCAAACTGCCGCAGGCGGGATCTCCGGGCCGGGGAGAGGGGGGCCGCTGGGCGCCGAGGCTCGTTGAATACGCACCTGGGGAGGTCCGCATGAACCTGTGAAGGGGACAGTGCGTGGAGGGACGCGGCGGCCGCTGCTTTGCACTTTGAGCGAATCAGATTGGGGCCCTCCGAATGGACTGAGTCGGGGGTAAGTTAAAGTATAAGTTAGAAGACTTTGAGCCTTATGGCTTATAAAGATTACACTCTTGGAAATGGCACACGTTTATCTAAGACCAGGGTTGAAACTTTTTGCGTGTTTGGCAAACGGTTGCTGGAAATGTTTCGTTTAAGGAAAAGGTTATTGCAAATTGAGTGCCAGCTGTTCCACCAGAACTTGCCATCCTTGAGAACCAGTGGGCAGAGGCTTACGGGAAGAGGTAAGGTAGAGGGCAGACAGGAATCCCTAACTCCTTCAGTTTCGGTCTGGGCAGGGAGACAGAAGGATTTATGGAGGCCATCGGTCTGGTGTAAATCAGGTAAGAAGTAGGAGATACACTGTGAGAAGCTCCTTCCTGTCTCATCGGGAATCTAGATACCCTGTTGAACTAGAGTCAAGGAACAATACTAGTTGGCTAGCTTTCCATTGTTTTTTTTTTGTTTGCAACTGCAACATTAACTCTCAAACTTTAGTCCTAGATGAAAAGTTAAACTGTGTGCTGTTTTTTGTTTGTTTGTTTTTGAGACAGGGTTTCTCTGTGTAGCCCTGGCAGTCCTGGAACTCACTGTAGACCAGGCTGGTCTCAAACTCAGAGAACTGCCTGACTCTGCTTCTTGAGCTCTGGGATCAAGTCGAGCACCGCCACGGCCGCTGCCACCACCACCCAGTTGTAAAATGTGTACTTCCTTAATAAGTCATACCAATTGTGCGAAATACACTGTATGAAAAAGAAGTATCTCCGTTTTCAGACAGGGTTGCAGTTACTTAAGAGAAGTCCGTTCTTTTGTTTTTTAATGGCAGGGTCTCATGGCTGGCCTCTGACTTGGTATATAGTCAGACACAACCTTGAACTTCTGGGTCATCTCAAATGCTGGGGACATAAGCTGTGAACCACCATGCCTGTTCATGAGGTGCTGAGGGTGGGTGGAACCAGAGGCTTTGTTCATGCTGAGCACTGGGCCAACTCGGCCACACTCCCAGCCCCCCCCAACCACGCCAGCTTTTTATGTTGACCTTTGCAGTCTACAAGGAACTTGTTGCTTGCCTTTGAAAACTCCATTGTACACTCACTGGAAGAGCGAGAAGGAAAAGACAGTGACGGTTCAGTATTGTTAAAAAAATATGGTTGTGACTTGGGAAATAGACTGATACTTCAGAATGCTTTTCCTATTATTAAAAATAATGAAACAGTTCGTACCCATTGCGAGGAACCTTTAAACATATGAATCACTGTTATGATGAAACTGAACCTGGGCACGTGGCTTGGCTGCTACAATGCCTGCCTAGCACGGGTGAAGCCTTGGGCTCCACCCTCACACCCACATAAACCAACTGCCTGGGGCAGAGCTCACCTATAATCCCAGCACTTGTTAGGTGGGGGCAGGAGTATCGGAAGCTCAAGGTATACTCGGCCACACTGTGAATTCAAGGCCAGCTTGGCCTACATGAAACCTATCACACGAGAATAGAAAGAAGGGCTGGGCAGTGGTGGGGCACCACGCCTCTTTAACCCCAGTGCTTGGGGAGGCAGAGGCAGGCGGATCTCTTGAGTTCGAGGCCAGCCTGGTTTACAGAGCTAGTTCCAGAACAGCCAGGGCTATGCAGAGAAACCCTGTCTCAAAAACAAAACAAAACAAAAAAGAATAAAAATAAAATTGTCCGTCACGCACGCATCGTGTCATGATTGAGGTGCATCTTGATATAAAGGTGTGGCAAGCAACTGATGTTTGAGTGGCGTGGATTTAGGGCAGGCTGGAGCTGTGTAAGTGGTCCGTGGGCTTTCACTGAGTGGGGTTAAGGGTGCTTTAATTACCAGTCCCACAAAGCTGATGCCGGTTCCTGGTTGCAGGCGGAGCTGAGCTGGAAGTCTCTCATTGGCCACTGCCCTTTGTAAAGAAGTCACTTGCCTTCCAGAGTCCACCTGCTCTGAGCTGCTGGGGACTCTCCGGGAGCTGAGAATGGCACTCTTCAGGCAGCTGTCCCTGGGTTCCAAGGCTGCCCTGGCTGCAGCCACCGTCTTCGTGTCCATGATCCTCTCCCGCTCCTTTCTGGCCGAGACCCTTGAGCTCCAGGCCTGGCGCTGGCTGTTTCGCCTGCAGCTGGTCCTGTTTGTCAACTCGCTCATGCTCATCGGCTCCGTGTACATCTGGCGGAGCACAGTGAGCAACCTCAGCCATTCCCCTGCCGTGGAATCCGCCTGTTTCCAGCTTTGGAAGCTGGTTGTCATGGCATTCCTGGCCCTGGCACATTCCAGTTTCTTCACCATGCTCTTCTTGGTGGCCGAGGAACCCTATGTGTTCTCCTTAGCAGCCTACTCCTGCCTGGGGGCTTACATCATCATGGTTTTCTTCCTTTGTATCTTGAACGCCATGGAGCAGGCCCACCAGTTCTTAGCCTGGCGCAGCGGTAGGGTGGTGGGCAGCCTTGACAAGACAAGACACCTGGTGCTCAGGCCTGCCCTGGCGGTGGCGGTGACAGCTGTACTCAGTACCATCGGCCTTCTGAACGCTGCCCAGCCCCCAGTGGTGAAAACGGTGGAGGTGCCCATCCACCAGCTCCCCGCCTCTATGAATAACCTCAGGATTGTGCTCCTTTCGGACATTCACTTGGGGCCCACGGTGGGCAGGACAAAGATGGAGATGTTCGTGAGGATGGTGAACGCACTAGAGCCAGACGTCACGGTGATCGTGGGTGACCTCTCCGACTCGGAAGCCTCCATCCTGCAGACGGCAGTGGCTCCTTTGGGCAACCTCCGTTCCCGCCTTGGCACCTACTTCGTCACGGGGAATCATGAGTACTACACGTCAGATGTTAGCAACTGGTTCACGCTGCTGGAGTCCTTGCGGGTCCGGCCTCTGCATAATGAGAACGTGAAGATCTCCGCCCCCGGGGACCAGGACGCTGGCGGGGCTGCTAAAGAGTGGGTCTGCTTGGCGGGCGTGGATGACATAGAAGCCGACATCCTTCACTACTCTGGCCATGGCATGGACCTCGACAAGGCTCTGGAGGGCTGCAGCCCAGATGACGCCACCGTCTTGCTGGCTCACCAGCCTCTGGCTGCCAAGAGAGCCCTCCAGGCTCGGCCAGATATAAACTTGATCCTTTCCGGACACACTCACGCAGGGCAGATCTTCCCCTGGAATGTCGCAGCCTATCTCCTGAACCCCTTCTTTGCTGGGCTCTACCAAGTAGGCCAGGCTACATTTGTGTACGTCAGCCCTGGCACAGCCTACTACGGGATACCCATGAGGTTGGGGAGCAGGGCGGAGATCACGGAACTCATCCTGTGGCGGGCTCCCTAAGCCCACCCTGGTGGTGCTGCCCTGCCTCGCCCTTGCCCAAAGCCTTCACCGGCCCCCTGCTCCAGCCCCGCCCTGCCAGCGCACCCCTTTGACCACGGCCTGCAGGGGCTTGGAGTGGGGTTGGCAAGTTCAGACTGGTTTTACTGATTCAGATAACCGACCACTTTTGATAGCACGCCTGTGAGTCCACTCACCCACGTAAATGTAAATGGGAGCCCATGTTTTCCAGCTGCTGTGGAGAGGGGTCCTCTTGCAGAGGGTAGGGTGGTTGAAAAGGGCACCTCTCGGTGCAGACCCAGGGAGGGGCAGGAACACTTGTGTCCTGTGGGTTTAACCCTGGTTAGGGCTTGGGGGTTCTGGAATTTCTTGATCTAGAGACAGTTGGTTTGGGCATGGACCAGGTTGAGAAGTCAAACGAGATGGATGCCTTCCCTTTGTTTGCTGGAGGAGTGTGTCCCTTTCCTCCTCAGTTCAGTCAGGGTCACCCTTACTGAGGGCATCAGCAGAACCCGCCGGAGCACGGGGCCCTTCCTGTCAGGAGCCCGAGGGTTGCTGATTGCTGTGCTGGGTGGCTGGAGAAGAAATCATGGGAATGGTGGTAGGTGATGACTCCGAGGTCTCCTAAGCTCTTGGTGACTCTGAATCCTGGTTCTGCCGCCTCTGGGAGAGGCAATTAAGGATGGGCTGCTTCTGTGTTCCGGGGTGAGGAAAGGATGCTGGGTGTGAGGAAGGCTGGGAGAGTGGCCTAGGAGGAGGCCAGCATCACAAAACTGTGTGTGAGAGAGGGGGTGGGGAGAGAGAGAGAGAGTCTGTGTATATGAAGGGGGAGCTAAGTCCTTCTGAAAGTTCATTTTATGGCTCGATGGTTAAGCAGCTTTATTGGTCATGGTGATTGCAGGATTCTAAGTACAGATAAACATTAAACCAGGCCCTAGAGCCCCATGTTCCCTGCAAAGTGGTTTCTTGTTTGAAGCTGGCTTCACTTCACCCATACCTAGATGGAGCAAGGCCTCTAAATAAGAGTTGCTAATTGCAGGAGGCCATCTGTTATAGTTGAACGAGCCAGGAGATTGGAACTCCCTACCCATTACCCCAGGTTTGGGTCTGATATCTTGGTGAGAAGCTGAGGCTTCTTGTCTACCCATGGGAAGGCTGAAGCTGACGTGATCCTGCCCTGCACCTGCAAGTTCCCCTAGGCCCTGGCTATGGAATGACGGGACTGTGTTACCGGGTGGGGACATCCTAACCCGTCTACCTTAGCCTCTGGCCACAGAAGCATACCAGACCCACAAGGAAAACAAAAGGAGCTGTTTTGTGCAATGCCTGCAGATCTGTTGGTCTAGCTTTTGCCAGAGGCGAGAGAGACCTTTTGCATAGCAGAAAGCTACTCTGAGGAAAAGGCCTCATTGAGATGTGATCAGGACCATCTGGGTAGCTCAAACTCAGGGCCAAGAGTCCTCTGGAAGGACATGCAGACACCCTCTGTCTGGAGAGGGGCTTCCTGCTGCTTGTGAGGAAGGGTTGATGCCTGGCAGTGACACGTCCTAAATTCTTGACTTCCGTCCGCCGCCCTGAAATGGGCGTAATTCTTGTATCTACCTCGAGGCTGCTTTGCTGGGAAAATGTTGCGACTGCCCCCACAGCCAGCTCTTGGTGTGATGTTCTAGTACTAATCCATGCTAATCAGAGACCTGCTAAGGAATGTGCCTGGAGAGTCTCAGGGGCAGCCAGTCCTGGGGACTGTCAGTGGGTGACAGGCTGCTGCCAGCAGAGCCCAGATGTCCTTGTGATACCTACTGAGAGCCTCCTTCCTGTGTACACACTCCGCTTTGTAGATGGGGGTTCTTCATCTTGTCTCCCAGTAGATAGGGCATGGGCAGTGGGCCACCCCACCTCTACCCAGCTCTCAGCCGGCGGACACAGGACAATTAGGAGTTCAGAGCTACTAATGAGTTAGTGAGTTTGAGGCCATCCTGGGCTACATGAGACCCTGTCTTGGAGAGACAGACAGACAGACAGACAGACAGACAGACATAAGCTTTGTTATGAAACTGTGACCTTCCACCTCACACAGGATTTCAGCACTGGGAGAGGCTTTGTAGAAACCACGACTTATTGGTGGGATTCTAGGAGAGGCCACCACTCAGACCCCAGCTCTCCCAGGCACTTCCGGGCACACCTGGCGCCCTCCTGCATCACGAAGATCACTTTCTCCAGGGTTCTCCACTTCTGGCGGCTCTGCCCCTTCTGGGGTCATGACTGCCCCTTCTGCTCCGCTTTGAGTCTCAGCAGACAGATTTGACATCTTTTCACTCCAGGCCCCTGGCGCCACTGGGAGCTTTTGGACTCTTGTCATTCCTGTTAATTTTTTCTGGTTCCTTGACCTCTGGACCTTTCTCTTCAGGACACTAGGCTTGATGAAGTTAGCTTTGGCCAGCCTGGGTCTCTGGTGTTTGATACCGTCGTCTTGGGATCCGTGTGCACGCCATCCATTCTGTTGTCTTGTTTTTATTTTAGAGGCAGGGGCTTGGGGTGTATACCAGATGGCCTTCAGCTTATAGTCATCCTCCTGCCTCTGCCTCCCAAGAGCTGGATGCCTGGCGTTCGTCACCACGCCTGGCTCCTTCATCCTCTCTGAGCTCTCTGTTCCGCTGAATACTTTTCCGTTAACAGAAGGGGTTGGGCTACAACTCCCTGGTAGAGAACTTGCCTTGCAATTGGGAGGCCCTAGGACCGTCACAGAAAGGGAAGGTAGCCACCAGAGCCTAGGAGGAGGCTAGGCAGGCGACAGCCCCACAAAGCCTGACTTCTGAGCGGCCCCCATGTGTGCAGTGCCAGGTGTGTGCCCACGCTCACACATGGATCACGTGGCACACACACGGTAACGTGAATAGAACAGTTCTCTGCAGAGAGGCCGCCTGCCCTTCGGGAGATCTTGCACAGAAGGGAGGCCGCTGTTCCGTGCCCCCCCAGCTCGTCTGTCTTCTGCTTGTCTGCTCCTTGACTCTCTTCACGCCTCCGGGTTATGCACATTGGCCAGCAGGTGTTCCTGGAATTCCTTCCTCCTCCTTCCCTCCCTGACTGGGTCTTACCGAGGAGAGGCTGCTTGGGATTCACTCACTGTCTTCCTGCCTCAGCCCCCTGACTCTTGGGATCACAGATATGCGCCACCGTGTCCATTCTCTTCAATCATGTTTATTTTGTGGTGCCAGTTGTAATGTCCCCTCTTTCCTCTGTAAATGCAGTTGTTCCAGTGTAGCTAAAGGTTAGTCGATGGTGTTGTTGTTGGCAAATACCAGTTTTGCTTATTCTTTTGTGCTGGTTTTTGGTTTTTTTTTTTTTTTCTGGTTCCTGTTTCATTGATCTCTGTTTGGGTGTTTTGTTTTGGTTTCGTTATTGTTGTTTTCTGTTTATCTGTTTGTTTGTTTGTTTGTTTGTTTTTGTTTGTTTTGGAGACAGGGTCTCAATATGTAGCTGAAACTCACTACATAGACCAGGCTGGCCCAAAACTCAAGGAGATCCTCCTGCCTCTGCCTCCTGAGTGCCGGAATTAAATGAGTGCATCACCAAGCCCTGTTCTTTCTCCAATTTCTCAAGGAACTGTCTTTTTTTTTTTTTTATGATTCTCTTTGGTTTGAATCAAAGTCTGAAATTTTTTCATGTGCTGTGCATGCACCGTCTCTTTAAGTCTGTTGCATTCCTCTTACACGTGCGTGCAGGAAGAAGTGAATGAAAATAATTGAGGACATCTTTATTTGACGTACATTTGTGTGTGTGTGTGTGTGTGTGTGTGTGTGTGTGTGTGTGTGTGTGTACAGTGCTCACATGACGGTCAGGACAGCTGGAAGAACTAGCTTCTCCCACCATGTGGGTTTCTGGGATCGAACTCACATAGCTTGGTGCCAAGCACCTTTACTCGGCTCTTTTTTTTTAAAGACTTATTTTTATTTTTAATTGTGTGCAGGTTTTCTGTGTCTTACACGTGGGTGTATGCGCGTGAGTGCAGGTGCCTGAGGAAGTCAAAGGCCAGAGCGTGGCCTTAGAGACGGCTGTGAGTTCCCTGACTCAGGTCCTCGGATCACTGAGCATCTCTCCAGCCTCCTACTTTTATTTATTTTTAAACTATACATTTGCCTTGCTTTTCACCGGAGATAACGGGACAGAATTAAGCTGGCGCTGGTCAGGAGCGCAGGAGGGTTAGGGTCAGCTGGCGCTGGTCAGGAGCGCAGGAGGGTTAGGGTCCAGACCCAAAGTGCCCGTCGCTCTCTGTGTCCTCCATTCTGCTGTCCCCGCCTCTCCCGTGGCAGTGTCTTCTATTTAGCCAGACCTTTGAAATGTGAAAAACAAAGTTTTTAACACAGACATATATGAATAAGCAAAGCCAGTAAGCAGAGATGTGGGGTAGGGCAGGCATCCACAAATCTGTCCCTGGGGGTATTGACTGTCACCACGGACCTCAGTTTCCCCAGCCTGTCTGCGGTGACGGGCCGACACCGCAGCCCCTGGCGTCTGGTCATCTGGAATCCTTCTTGACTTTGTCTTTGATATGTGACCTTAGGGAATATAGAGGCCTTAGGTGTGCAAAGCCCTCTCAGCTGCCCCCCCCTCCCATGGCCCTGGGTTGCTAGTGGACAGCTGGGTTTTTCTACCCTGGAGCTGAGGTGTCCCTGCTGGGAGCTCCACAGGCTCCTGGGGTGAGGTGACTGGGCTTGTGGAGACCCTCGGGTAGGAATTCCCCAGCTTTCTCCCAAAAGACCTGGAGGCCAAGGTCTTGACCAGTTCATAATGACCCTTAACCTGTGATGTCACCAAGCTGCTTTTACTCTTTGTTCCAGACCAAGAATGTGCACAAGGGATGCAGATATATTTATTTTAGTACCGAGGACTAGAACTCTTGGGGGGAGATGTTCAAGTTACCCATTGATGCCTGTACTGTTACAGTGAGTGCTTTGTTTTGTTTTGTTTTTTTAAGATGCTTATAACTGAAAACAATCACACTGGTCAGTATTAGACCCTTGAGGAGTACTTGGTCTAAGGGGGTTTTATTTGCACTGCCTTTTTCTTTTTTTACCTCCAATGTTATATGCATTATGTGTATAGTGGGGGCGGGGACTTGAGGGGGCCCGAACATCCAGTATGGTTGCTTGGAATTGTGTTTTGTTTCATGTTCCTGTGGTTATCTGCTTTGTAAACACGTATGCCACTGCACACTGCAAGCGTGGAATAAAAATTTGTCTCTCATGATGCCATTTCGGTGCCCGTTCATTCAGAGGGGTTGAGCTGTGCACTGGGCAAATCTGAGGGGTGTTTTAGTCACTAGGAGCTTCTTGCCCGTCATTTTCCTCCTTTGCTCTCTTCCTTCTCCTGCTCCGTGCTCCCCTTCCTCCCTCCACCCCTCTTCCTTCTTCCCTCTCTCCTTCGGCCTCCTTTTTTTAAAAAAGGTTTTATCGGTGGGACTGGAGAGATGGCTCAGTGGTTAAGAGCACTGGTTGCTCTTCCAGAGTTCAATTCCCAGCAACCACATGGTGGCTCACGACCATCTGTAATGAGATTTGGCGCCCTCTTCTGGCGTGCAGGCACACATGCAGGCACAGCACTGTGTACATTTTTAAAAATTAAAAACATAAGACTTTATTTATTATTTACTTACATGTGTGTGCCTGTGTGAGTTTATGTGCACCTTGTGTGCAGGAGGCCAGAAGAGGGAGTCGGATCCTACGTGGCTGGAGTTACAGGTGCTGGTGAGCTGTGTAATGTGGGTGCTGGGAACTGAACCTGGGACCATGGATGAGCTGCAGATGTTCTCTTTACCCCAGAGAGACACCTCCCCGGCCCTCCTCCCATTTTCTGACAACCTTATATGTGTCAACGGGGCTGTAGCTCAGGAAGTCCAGAGGAAACTGGCTGTTTGGGTTGGATCTTCTCGGGGTCCTTCAGAGTTGAGAGGGATTTCTTTGGAGCCAGGGAGTGGATTTTCCTTGGCAGTGGAAGTTAGAGCTGACTGGTCGAGAGGTGGTGGCGCACGCCTTTAATCCCAGCACTCGGGAGGCAGGGGCAGGAGGATCTCGGTGAGTTCAAGGCCAGCCTGGTCTACAAAGCGAGTCCCAGGATAGCCAGGACTGTGATACAGAGAAACCCTGTCTTGGAAAAAAATAAAAATAATTGTCTGAAGGCTGAACAGTGGTGGTTCATGCCTTTTGCCTTTAATCACAGCACTTGGGAGGCAGAGGCAGGCAGATCTTTTTTCTATAGATTTTATATATTTATTATGTGTACAATGTTCTGCATTATGCTTACTCACCAGATAGAGGGCACCAGATCTCATTATAGATGGCTGTGAGCTAACATGTGGTTGCTGGGAATTGAACTCAGAAAAGTCAATGCTCTTGTCTCTGAGCCATCTCTTCAGCCCCAGACAGATGTTTTGAGACCAGACAGATATACAAAGTGAGTTCCAAAGGCAGGGTGGTGGTGGCGCACTCCTTTAACCCCAGTGCTCAGGAGGCAGAGGCAGGAGGATCTCTGTGAGTTCAAGATGAGCCTGGTATACAAGAGCTAGTTCCAGGACAGGCTCCAAAGCTACAGAGTAACCTTGTCTCAAAAAAGGACGGGGTTTCTTTGTCCAGCCCTGGCTGTCTTGGAACTCACTCTGTAAGACCAAACTGACCTTGAACTCAGAGATCTGCCTGCTGAGATTACAGGTGTGTGCCACCACGCCCAGCTTAAGTGACTGTTCTTATTGCTATGAGAAAATACCTGACGAAAGTAATTTATGGAACAAAGGGTTTATTTGGGCTCACTTCTTTAAAATTATTACATTTATTTGTATGTGTATGTATGTGTGTGTGTGTGTGTGTGTGCGTGCATGTGCTCATGCTACACTCATGTGGAGATCACAGGATAACTTCCGGGAGTCAGTTCTTTTCCACCATGTGGGTCCTGGGGCCCCAGCTCCGGTTTCAGGTTTGGTGGCAAGTGTCTTTACCCTCTGTGCCATCATTGTGGGGGGGACATGGTGAGGCGTGGTCATGCTGTGTAAGCGATCGGGAAGGAGTGTTGACCTATAAAACCTCAACACCTGCCCTCAGTGACGGTCTGCCTTCTAAGTGTTCCCCAGCCCCTTAAAACGATGCCGTTGTCTGGAGACCAGACGTTTGGACTCTGTGCCTCTGTGTGACATTTCACATCCAAACCGAGACGGCTGTCCTAACAGTCACAGTCTCAGGTGACAGAGCTGGGCAGTGACTGTAGCCCTGTGGCAAGCCACGGTGAGTACTACTTCCTGCCCGCTCACACACACAGACTGCTTTTGTGCCTCTTGAGGGACAGGTTTGGAAAGATTCCCACGTGGCTAGCAAACTAAGTGCTGGAAGCCCTGTTCTCTGTTCTTACGATAACCTACACCCCTGTGGTACCGGCTTTTGGAGCCCTGCTTAGGAATAAATCACCCAGTGCAGTCCACCATGATGTTTCTGCTGTTAGCAGGGCCCCGTGGGTGGGTCAGATGGAATTCGATGGAGATGACCTTTAAATGTTGGTGGAGGAGAACCTTGTAGCTATTCCAGGAGTATGGTTTCTTCCAGGTTTGTCATAAGGAAGAGTAAAAAGTTCTGGATCCATAAAAGCCCTCGTACATGGCAAGGGTTCTACTGGCTGTTGATAGGGGAAATCATTCCAGTTTGGTCCAAGTTTGCAATCCTTCAAGGGAAATAACGGTATCTCTGGGCTCCACTGTGTGAAGTACTTGGGCCTTCCCGGGAGTGGCAAGGGAGAACGATGGCCTGTCACATTTCTTGTAAGTGTGGGTTTAAACTGTACTGACAGTATTCCTAAGGCCTGGGTGTTGTGATTTAAGAAAAGAAAGACGCCATGTGACATGATTCAAGCAGAGGGTTTTTTTTTTAATTAGGGAAACGGATCATAAAAAGGGGGAAAGGGGAGGGGAGAGACCTCCAGGGATGGGAGCAGCAGGAGAAAGGATAGGGGGAGGGAGAGAGAAAAGAAGGGGAGACAGAGAGAGAGGGAAAGAGAAAGAGAGGAGGATGGGAAGTAGGCAGAGACCCTTTTAAAAGGGAACGTAGTGAGTGTGCACAGGAGGTGCTCCTAGTGGCTGCAGCTGAGCGCGCATCCTGTTGGAACCCCAAGGACAGGCCAGTAGCGGTGCCTGAATACTAACCCTGGTGCGCCTCTTTCCTGAGGACACAGTGGGTTCCCTGAGTCCCATTGTTGAGTGCTCGGGAGTATTGCTTGTACTAGCAGTCACGCTGCAGGGCCCTTCCCTCAGGGATCCACTCGCCCCTGCCATTGACCAAAGGCGGGAACTGGAGAAGGCGTCTCAGTTTTCTAGTGGCAGACACCGCCTTTGCCTATCTCATCACGTGGGGATAGTGTGACTTCCAAGCCATCGCCTGTGATCACACTGGAAACTGCGTCCCTTGGCTTTGGATGCTTACAGTGGTCCCCCTTGGTGGTGCTGCCATGTTGTCATCCCCAGCGGTAGAGATGGCCCAGGGTCGTGGCGGTGTCTTTTGTCACCACTCATCTATTGAGGACACTGCCGTGGGGATCCACTGATGTCCTGGCTGAGGGTGCATCTCCGGGCATGCGGTTTATGTAGTCAGACAGTGGCGCTCTCACCTTTACATTCCTCCTCGGGGTCAGACAGTGGCGCTCTCACCTTTACATTCCTCCTCGGGGTCAGACAGTGGCGCTCTCACCTTTACATTCCTCCTCGGGGTCAGACAGTGGCGCTCTCACCTTTACATTCCTCCTCGGGGTCAGACAGTGGCGCTCTCACCTTTACATTCCTCCTCGGGGTCAGAGGCACTCCTGGTAGCTCCCCTTCTCCTCTGCAGGCTGCTGTCATGTTTGTGTCCGAGAAACCATCCGTGAGCTCAGGGATCAGAGCCAACACCACGTGATAGACAGTTCATAGGTCACGGCAGATAGCCCACTCCAGTGTCCTCTCCCAGGACACCGTGTCCTACCAGGGTCAAACCCTCCACCTGGCTCTTCCGGTAGGAGATGAGGGTCTCTGCAGATACCACTAACGACTACCCTGAACCCTCTCTTCAGAGCTTCCAAACCTGCTATCCAAGCCAGCCAACCTTGCAGTCTGTCCAGATCCTGGTAAACTAAAAGAGCTAAGTCACATGCCAACCCCTGCATGAAGAGAGTCTTCCACAGGTAGAAGACCGCAGGCTGTGCAAGCCTGATGACCTGAGTTCAGCCCCAGGGAGGAGAAGGGAGAGAACTGACTCCACGGTTGCCCTGTGACCTCCTCATGCACAGCACCACACATGCTGTACACACATATGCATATTCATACACACACTCATATACACACATGCACACACATATACACACTCACATACTCATGCACACATACATACACTCATATACCCATATACGCATACACTCATACACACATAATCACACACACTCATACACACATATATACACTCATACACCTATACACACGTGCGCGCACGCACACACACACATTTTAAAAATAAACATGCCAAATCCTGCCCCCTTTAACCTGGGCCTCTTCTGTCCAGCATAGGTGAGGAGCATGGCATAGCATTCTGGGATATCCTTGCTCACCCACTAAACGCCAGCTGTAAGGTCTGGTTGCTAGTGGACACCTCCAAAAACTCCAGATGCTGACCGGCAGCCCACGTTCAGATGTGTTTGTTACAGCTCTCATTGCTCTGACGGAAGAGACTGAAGTTTACTTTTGGCTCACGGTGTGCAGGGTGCAGTCCAGCACGTTGGGGCAGGCACGATGGTAGGCGTGGGAAGTGGCCGGTCACGTGTCCACAGTGGACAAGCTCAGTTTCTTTTTCCTTCAGCCAGGGACCTCAGCCAGTGGCACAATGCCACCCACAGTCAGAGTGGGTCTCCCGTCCGCAGTTAAAACTTCCTGGAAACTCCCTCACAGACATACTGTGCAGAGACACCATGACCAAGGCACCTTACAAAAGAAAACATTTAATGGGGGTTTGCATAAAGCCTTTAGACACCTTGACTGGCCACTCCTAGTGACGCGCCTCCTCCTGCAAGGCCACAAGTCCCCCAATAAGACCACACCTTCTCAACAAGACCACGCCTCCTCCAGCAAGGCCACGCCTCATAATCCTTTCTAAACAATTCTACCAACTCGGGACCAAACATTTAACTATATGAGACCATGGGGACCGTTCTCATCCAAATCACCACACTCTCCCCAGAGGTCTCTCTTCTTGGTGACCCTAAATTCCGTTACACTGACCGGCACGGCCTTCACAGGAGGTCGTTCCTGGTACCACTCCTCTTAATCCTTTGAAAGCAGAACCTGAAACAAGGGTTTGGGGCCGGGTGGCTTGAGTGGTCATGTCTAACTACATCTCACGTTACGATTCCACATGAAGTGCACAGTCAGCCCCACCTAGAAAGTGGTCCTGAGTCATCCTTGATTTGACCTTAGTGAGGACACAAAGAAGCAGAGAGCTAGACCTGAGGTGGGGACATTCTTAACGTCCAGAAGGCCAACTGACAAATCAGTGGCGCTCTCCACTCCCTAGGGGACGTCAGGCCACATGTGATCCAGGACTTGGTACCCTCACAGTTGCTTCCAGATGTTTCCAGATGGCTCCCGAAGCTATCGGAGGCTATGATGTCAGTGAGCCCTGGCATTTTGTCCTTTGGAAGCGTAAGGGTTCATGTGGCAGCTTCTCAGTGTTGGGGGCCGTAGCAGGCTGCTGGTAATCCTGGCTGTGGGGTTCCTGTCGCCCGTTGCTACCTGTTTTGTCCACCAGGGTGCAGTGTTCCACTTTGCCTAAGAGCTCCTGAAGGTAGCTCCAAACCGGGTTCCTCGAAACGTTGACTGCTTATTTGACATTTCAGCCAGTGGAGGTGCGTGTGTAACCCCACACTGTGCAGCAGGCATTCCAGAGGTGGGGCTGTGCAGAGTGCCAGGCACTGTTCTCTGCTCCTGTGGAAAGGCGCTGGTTGACCCTGACCCCGCCCCCCCCATTTGGGTTCAGCTCACCCACTGGATTGTGCCCAGCTGCTTTAAAAATCTCGCTTTAAAGTTTCTCGCCGCTGCTACCCTGGTCGGGTGCGACTGATGTGTAGAGTTGGAGAGGCCACTTGCCCAGGCCACTCCGGGACTCAGAGCAGCAGCTAGGAGCTTCGTGGATCTGCTGCTCTGTCTGTTTGGCCTCAGATTCTCTAGGTTGCCAGGGATGACTTTAAACTTCTGGTCCTCCTGCCTCTACTTCTCCGCCGCTGCATCCCCGACCCATTGGTTTCTGGCCTGCGTTTTAGACTTTTCTGAATGGGTCTTGGTGATCCCAGCGGACATAGCTGCTGAGCTGCTGTGTGCACACCCCCCACAGAGGATGTAGTCTCTGCTCCTGAGCGTCTGCGGGCTCCAGATTTGGGGAGCAGAGTCAAAGTAGAAGATGGCCTCCTCTGGGACCCCGTTAGTCAAGTCACCCTGTGTGCTGGGCTGAGCAGTAGCTTGTTTGATACCCCAGGGACTGATGAAGTCTCCTGATGAATTATGTGACTTAGACAGGAAGATCCCTGGCCCACCCACAGCTCTGCTTCTGAGAGGGTCCAGGTCCTCATGGGGTCCCTTCCGTTCCCCTGCAGAATGTCTCCCGGAGGACATTTGAGCTCGACTACGGCCGGGACCGCTTCCTCAAGGATGGGCTGCCATTCCGCTACATCTCAGGAAGCATTCACTACTTCCGGATACCCCGCTTCTACTGGGAGGACCGGCTGCTGAAGATGAAGATGGCTGGGCTGAATGCCATCCAGATGTAAGGAGGGGCACCCAGCTGAGGGTACACCCTCCCACCCCACCCCATCCACCCCCCACCCCGCCACACCTCCCCACCTGGAGTTATTTCTCCCGTATCAGCGATGCCGTTGCTCAGAAGTAGGAGAGAGTCCTGTGTGGATTTCTGAGGGGCTTGTCACACGCTTGATTGGGTTTTCTTCAGATGCGAGCTGCTTCTCACTTGAACTTTGTCATCAGAAATCATAAAATAGAAATCACCTTGAAAAGGCAAAGGTAGGAGCTGGTAAACAGCTCAGGAGGTTATGGCCTGCTGCCAAACTTGGCAGGTTGAGTTCGTTCCTGGGGACCTACGTGGTGGAAGAGTCCTGCAGGGCGCTGTCTGATCTGCATGTACACACACACACACACACACACACACACAGACAGAGAGAAGGGGATGAAGGCAGGATATAGTGAACTCTTGGAAAGTACAGGGCACTTTTGAAAGACTATTGTCTGTCTGTATGTTCCTGTTTATAGCTCAGAAAACACTTCTGCCAAGGTCCTTGTCTGAGGTCCAGCGAGGAGCCAAACATGAAGGGGTTTGGATGTGGCCAGAGCTACTTTGGGTGTTGGGTGAATACGCCTTGTGCTTAGGTTTCTGGGACCCAGCTTGTCTAACTGAGTTAACTTTTTTTGAGCCCAGGCTGAAAGTTCACGCCCACAGGCATGTCCCCATCCCCTCTGATGCTATGACTAACAGGGAGGGAAACCGAGGCAGCTGACCACTCTGGGGTTTTTTGGTTTGGTTTGGAATTTTTTTTTTGGTGGTGGTGGGGTTTTTTGGGGGGGTTGTTGAGTGGGGGTTTTTGTTTTGTTTTGTTTTTTGAGACAGGGTTTCTCTGTGTAGCTTTGTAGACCAGGCTGGCCTCGAACTCACAGAGATCCACCTGCCTCTCTCTCCCAGATGCTGGGATTAAAGGCGTGCACCACCACCATCTGGCTCTTTCTTTTTGGTTTTTCGATTCAGAGTTTCTCTATAGGTTTGGAACTCACTCTGTAGACCAGGCTGGCCTTTAGAGCTGATGTAGATTACTGATATCATCTTAAAAGATAAAGGGTAAGAAAGCCTTAATTGGTTTAGTAGATACCTTCGGGGAGTCCCACTTATTATTCTGTTTCTATGGCCACTGGCAGAGTGAATTCAAGTTCACTTAACAGTAGTTGACAGAGTTCCAGTGGGCTGGGACTGATGGCTCCAGAGAATCCTAGAACCATGGGACTTCAGGACGCACGTGGGGCCACCAACAAGCTGATGGGAATGACGGCTCACATGCAGATGTGTATCTCCACTAGAGTTGGGGAGCAGGTTGAATTTGGGTCATTTTTTTTCCTGGCCTAGTACTCCTGATAAAAATCCTTTGTCTTCTTTTTTTTGTACCTTTGGAGCCTGTCTGGAACTCACTGTAGACCAGGCTAGACTCAAACTCACAGAGATCCACCTGTCTCTGCCTCCCGAGTGCTGGGATTAAAGGCATGTGTCACCACTGCCCAGCTTAACCTTTATTTTTTAAATAAATATATCTCATATTATTTTAGCATGATAATTAGGGTTCGTGTATTTTTTTCCTCATTAAAGTTTTCGATGAGCTGGAAGATATTTTTTCTTTCTGTCGTAGTTTCTATGCGGATTATTCCCCTAGAGCACTGGGTTGGGCTCCATTTGCCTGACTTTCTCCAGGGCTGTGTTTGATCCTCAGGGTGACAAACTAGCCAGGTATAAAGTGAAGCCAAAAGAGAGGTGTGCAGAGCTGGCCAAGAAAGCCACCATAAATAAAGCCATTTGGGCAAATAAAGCTGGTAAATACCATTCCTGTCCCTCAGGGCGGTTATCCCGTATGAAGACCATCATTTGTAACCCTCCCAGAGCACAGACAGGTTAACCTCGATGTTCACAATCTTCCCGTGACCACCAGTCAGTAAGCGAGAGAGAATAGGAGAGGTCGTGAGTGGCCCCGCTGGACCGTCTCCAGTGTGACACAGAGGCCTCTTGCCCTGAGTCACGTTCTGTGTGTCCCACCCAAGTAACCTGGCCTGACTCTGCTTAGTTTCTGAAATCAGAGGCAATATAACACTTATATTGTGTTATTGCCACAAACTGGGTATTAGTTCTCAGTAACACTCCCACTCCTTTTTTAAAAAGTTTTGTTATACCTTATTTGCTCTGTGTGTGTGTGTGTGTGTGTACATGTGTGCAAGTGTGTGCTACAGCATGTGTTTGGAGGACAGAGGACAAAGTGTGAAGCAGGCGCTCTCCTTACATCATGTGGGCTCCAGGACTGACCACCTGGGGTCAGGCTTGGCCGCAACACCGTTGCCCGTGTTCTGCCCTCCTGCCTGTGTTGTCAAATGGCCTAGAGCCTGGGCTCCCTTCTCTTTCCTCTGGCTCACCTGCCACCCCTGAGGACTTTGGCGGTGTGTGTCTTCGCAGGTACGTGCCCTGGAACTTCCATGAACCCCGGCCAGGACAATATGAGTTTTCTGGGGACCGTGACGTGGAATACTTCATTCGCCTGGCTCACAAGCTGGGGCTCCTGGTGATCCTGAGGCCCGGGCCCTACATCTGTGCAGAGTGGGACATGGTAAGCGTGTTAACACGGGGCTCTGCCTGCCTGCTGGGAGGGAGTGGCCGACGGGGTGGCGGTGGGGACCTGGGCAAAGCGGACTAAAGCAATCTGAGACCCAAAGTCTAGAGCGTGTGGTGCCGTGCCTCCACAGGTTCTGTTCCTTTAGCGAGGTGCCAGGCACAGAGGAGCGGGCTTGAGCCAGAGAGCGTGGGGCTTCCTCTTGGCCAGTCCCATAAGCCGACTTTCCTCAGCAGAGGCTTGGAGTGGGTGGGTCTGCTTTGTCCACCTCTCGAGGACTAGTTAAGAAATTAAGAGAGGCTGTGTGCATAAACAGAGCTTTGGGCGTAGCTCAGTGGTAGGTAGGGCACTTGCCTGGCATGTACGAAGCCGCGGCATCAGTCCCCAGTGCTGCAAAACCGAACGGCAAGAAAACTGAAGTAGAAGGAAAAAAAGAAAGGGGGTAGGGGGAGAAGAGGAGGCTGGAGAGATGTCTCAGCTGTTAAGAGCACTAGCTGCTCCTCCCTCCAGAGGACCCGGGTTCGATTTTCAGCACCCACACAGTGGTGCACAACCATCCGTGATTCCAGTTCCGGGGGAATCCAACGCCCTCTTCTGGCCTCTGGGGGCACTGCATGTCCGTGGTGCAGGCAAAACATCCATACACATAAAAAATGAATAAATAAATGTTTAAAGAGGAAGAGAAGGGTGGATTTTGCTGGATGTGGTGATCATGCCTGTAATCCAAGCACTTGGGAGCTGGAGGCGGGAAAATAAAAACTCTGAGGCCAGCCTGTGCCATATGGGGTTCCAGTTTTTGGCTTAGCTACATAGTAAGACTGTCTCAGAACTAAAGGGGGGGGTGTTGATTCTCAGAACACTATCAATAGAGTGATCTTAATTTTCCTATATTCCAGTTTCTCAGAAGCCCAGGTCATTTCCCCCTCTGTCTTTTCCCTCCCTGCTGACAGGAATCTCTCAGCCCTCGTCATGTCTAATGACTGCTGTTGCTCCTCTGTCTTGTAGGGAGGCTTGCCTGCCTGGCTGCTAGAGAAAGAATCTATTGTTCTTCGATCTTCTGACCCAGGTGAGTTCCCGATGCCTTTAAAGGACTATGGGAGATTGGACAGTTTATATCAAAAGAGCCAGGCCTTTAAAGATAGGGCTCCTTCTGTATAAACACCAGTTAGTGGGGAGCAAATCACCCTTCAACCGGACAGTGATCACGGAGGAGACTCTGCCTCTTTTGTAGGCTTGAGCGGGTCTCACTGGTAAATGGGGTCACTCTTTGAATTCAAAACCGGGTTAACCAGCTGGGCTCAATCGATACTTGTTCCCGCTTCCTACACACTTGGTATATTACACAGCCAGCTAGTCAAAATGGCACGGTCGGTTCTGGAGTGACATCACTAGACTTCCTGGTAGCCACGTGTGTCTTCCGTTTCATTGCATTCTTGGAGTGATTGGTAAACGACAGCTTTCTACCTTATCTTTGTGAACCACGGGAGATGGTTTCAGCTGTGCAACCCTAAACAGTCATTCAGTTGCATCTGTGTGTGTGTGAGAGACAGAGGCTATGTGTGTTATCCTCATACTACATGAGCTTCGGTTTTACACGCTTGCTATATTACTGTTGCTTTCACATGTGTTGCCTCGTGAGTCCCCAGGACAACTCCATGACGCATGTAATTTTGTCCGTCTCTTTTGAGGTTGTAAACACAAGGTTTGTTAGGTGTTGATTTTGCCTGGGTGTGGAGGCGCACATACCTCTATTCTTAAAGCTTGGGAAATGGAAGTAGGGGAATCAAGACTTCAAGGCCATCCGCAGCTACACATCGGGTTTGAGTCTAGCCTGGGCTATATGTCTCAAAAACAAGAAAAACCTTTATTTGTTTATTTTGTTTTGTTTTTTGAGACAGGGTTTCTCTGTGTAGCCCTGGATGTTCTGGAACTTGCTCTGTAGACCAGGCTGGCCTTGAACTCAGATCCTCCTGCCTCTTCCTCCCAAGTGCTGGGAGCATATATCACCGTGTTTTTTTTTTTGTTTTTTATGTATATGAATGCACGTCTGCTTATGCCATGTGCATGTTGATGCCCACAGAATTCAGAAGAGGGTGTTGGATGCCCTGGAACTGGAGTTAAAGACAGTTAGGCAACATGTGGGTACTGGGAATTCAGTCTTACACTCTCAATATAGTTGTGGATGATCCTGAAGTTCTGAACCTCCTGCCTCCACGATGTTGGGATTACAGGTGTGAGCATCCATGCACAGTGTACGCAGTGCTGGGGTCAAAGCCAGGGCCTGGCACATGCTCGGCAGGCACCAACTGAGCCGCATGCTCTCCCTGCTGGGATTCAGAGGACTTGGTGTTATTTAGCACCCCTCTGTGCCTGTCGCACATTGCCTGGTAGCCTGGGCTTCTGGCTCTGAGCCCCCATCAGGGTGAGTTTCCAGGGGAACTTGGATAACAGGACTGCCAGCGTGCAGAGCATGTCCAGCAGACTGTGGCTGCCTCGCGTTACAAGGCAGTGGTTGAAGGCTGCGGGTTGCATAGGCATCTCTTGGCTTTGAAAGTCAGCCAGTGTCGGGCAGTGGTGGCTCACGCCTTTAATCCCAGCACTTGGGAGGCAGAGGCAGGCGGATCTCTGTGAGTTCGAGGCCACCCTGGTCTCCAGAGCAAGTTCCAGGACAGCCTCCAAAGCAATACAGAGAGACCCTGTCTCGGGGAAAAAAAGAAAAAGATAGCCAAGATGGCTTAGCTGGTTTGGCTTGATCCCTGAAGCCCAATCTGAGACTTGCACGCGCGAGCACACACACACACACACACACACACACACACACACACACACACACACACAGAGACACGAATAAGCCAGTTGACAAAGGTGTGTGACAGTGGCCATACCATCTTGTCTTGTAGATTACCTTGCAGCTGTGGATAAATGGCTGACAGTCCTTCTGCCCAAGATGAAGCCTCTGCTCTACCAGAACGGAGGGCCGATTATAACTGTGCAGGTACCTGGGGCTGAGCCTGGACATGGGGGAGGGGAAAGGGGGGGGCAACTGTCCATCAACAGGATGGAAAGGATGATAGTGACATCCGGATGCAGGGCTAAAAGCGGCACTTTCACTGCAATTGAATTTGGGGCAAGTGTTAGTCTCTAGTCTGTCTGCTCTTCTCTCTCTGTCTCTCTCTCTCTCTCTCTGTGTCTATGTCTGTCTGTCTCTCTCTAGTCTGTCTCCTCTCTCTCTGTGTACCTCTCTCTCTCTGTACCTCTTTCTCTCTGTGTCTGTCTCTCTCTGTCTGTCTCTGTCTCTCTGTCTGTGTCTCTATGTCTGTCTGTTTCTTTCTCTAGTCTTTCTGCTCTTCTCTCTCTGTCCCTCTCTCTCTCTCTGTCTGTCTCTCTCTGTGTCTGTCTCTCTCTCTAAAATCTGGCAGATTGTAGAATTGCAGCTGCAGGCTCCGCCTGCTGACCCCACAGTGGGTCTTCCTCATGCAGTAGCCTTTGGCTGTGGCTCTGAAAGGCTTCAGGACGTTTCCAAAATGGCAAGAGCAGGTGACAAATAGGGACTCTGACGTTTTCTCTCCCACTTCCTGTGGCAGTCCCTCTCCACCTGCTCTAGGCCCTGCAAAGATGCGTGACTGTGGGAGCACCTGTGCACAGGGCCCTTGACCTTCAACAAGGGCGTGTGAGATTCCTCAGGTGAAGCATGAAGGCCCGCTCAGTGATTACTGGCCAAGCATGTTTTTATTGAAATGAACCAAGTGTGGAACTGTCTGGGTCCTGGGATGCCAAGGGGCTGAAGTGTGACCGTATTCCCATTTGCGGCTGCTGTACGGATGAGTCCTGATGAGGAGGGAGCGTGGCCTTCGGGAGGTGATGGAGGGCGGGCAGAGCCGATCAGGCGTCCATGGGGAGAGGCTGGGTGACTGCTCTTGAAAGGTGTAGCTCGTGAACCCCAAGTGCCCCTTGTCAGCACCAAGAGGTGACAGCTTCCTGTGTGAATTCAGTGAGTGTGAAACGTGGGCATGTCTTTGCTCCGTGCAGCTGGATCTCCTGTGTATGTGTGTGTCTGTGTCTGTGTGTGTCTGTCTGTCTGTCGGTGTGTGTGTCTGTCTGTGTGCACATGTGTACTGCCTTGTCTGTGGAGTCCAGAGGAGGCTATCAGGTGTCCCTCCCTATTACTCTTTATCCAGTTCCTCACTGGACCTGGAGCTGGGCTGCAGCCAGAAGCTTCCAGATACCCTACTGTCGGTGCCCATCCGCAGCACTGAGGTTACACGTGCACGTGGGTCCTGAGGATTTGAGCTTGGGTCCTCATGCCTAGGCAGTAAGTGCTGTTACCCACAGCCATCTCCCAGCCCCTGGCTCTTCTTCCTTTGCCCTGGTCATGGGTGAGAGCCACTTCTCAGCTGCTTTGAGTCACTTTCGATTTCTGCTCACAACTTTCCAGCATTTTTTGGTTAGAGAAACTTAATCAGAGCTATGGTGACGCACAGTTAAAACCCCAGCGCTTGGGAGGCATAAGACGGGAGGATCAGGAGTTTGAGGACAGCCTCAGCTACCTACTAAGTTCTTGGCCAACCTGGGCTACTTAAGACCCTGTCTCAAAGGCTTTTATCAGGCAGTCGTTATAAATGCATCTATTGTTTTAAGCAGCATGAACAGAAGGATTGCTGCCGGGTATGTGAGCCAGCCTGGTCTACATGGGGCATTCCAGAGCCTTGCTGCACAAAAAACAAAAAAAACAAAAAACAAAAAAAAAAAAAAAAGAGAGGGCGAGTGAAGTGAGGCGTCATAGCGGTGAAGGCGCCTGCCGGTGGCACCCAGCACAGGTCTGGCAGCCTGAGGTGGAAGAGAGCTGACAGACTGTTCCACAGGCATCCATCCCATGGGACTCCTGCTGCCCCAACATGGCGCATGCATGCACACACGCGCACACACACATACACACACACACAGGCACGCACGCACACAAGCGCCTGTGCGCACACACACACAAACAAAATATAAATTAACTTTTTAAACCAAGCAGTAACCAGCCCCTCTGTTTTAACTCTGCAGAAGGGAGCAAAGCCACCCACTTTGGGGACATTTCTTCTGTCCATCTTGGCCATTGCTCCTACCAGGCTACTCTGCTTTCTCCTGGTCCCCTTCCTCCTCCCCCCTCCTCTCCAATTACGTCCCCACCTCTTCATCCCCCCCCCCCCATTCACTAAGTTCGCAAACAGAGAGAACTGTGAGAATGCAAAAAAAACATGTGTCTGTCACTCAGACCCCAGGAGCCAGAAGCAATGCTCACTGTGTTTCTGGTGTTTTCTGGGAGACATTTTGTCTCCCCTTCTCTCTTCCTCTTTGCAGTTTACATGATGTGACCCATTTCCTGTGTGGTATTTTCTCTTCATTCACATGTCAGGGGCCTTTTCTCAAGCTGTAGTTCTTTGCATATTGGTGGGTGGTTCCCTGCTTGTCTTTCTGACTGTTTCGTTTAAGGTATAGTTACCCTGTGTAGCCCAGAGTAGCCTCAGACCCAGTGGTCCTCCCGCCTCGACCTCCTTGGCACTAGGACGATGAGTGGTCCACCATGCCAGGTGCCAGCAGCCTCTACCTCAGTGTAGCTGAGATGACAGGTACACGCCTGTGCCTGGAGTGTGCACGACAGGGAGTCCACACCAGGGCTCTTGTACCTACAAAATGCTCTACCAGCTGAGCTACATCCAAGTCCCACCCCACTTACTTTTGTTTTGTTTTGTTTTTCAAGGCAGGGTTTCTCTGTGTAGTCCTGGCTGTCCTGGAACTCGCTCTGTAGACCAGGCTGGCTTGGAACTCACAGACATCCCCCCTGCCTCTGCCTCCTGAGAGCTGGGGTTAAAGGTGTGCACCACCACCGTCAGGCTTCCCATTGCCTTCTTTTTTCTTTTTTCTTTTTTTAACAATGTTATTTTAAGATGGGCATTGGTGACGCACGCCTTTAATCCCAGCTCTCGGGAGGCAGAGGCAGGGGGATGTCTGTGAGTTCCAAGCCAGCCTGGTCTACAGAGTGGAGTGCCAGGTCAGGCTCCAAAGCTACACAGAGAAAAACCCTGTCTCAAAAAATAAAAGAAGCCGGGCGGAGGTGGTGCACGCCTTTAATCCCAGCACTCGGGAGGCAGAGGCTGGAGGATCTCTGAGAGTTCAAGGCCAGGCTGGACCGAAAGCCTCCAAAACAATACAGAGAAACCCTAACTCATAAAAACAAAACAAAACTTATTTTACATACCAATCCCAGTTCCCTCTCCCCCTCATCCTCCCACTCTCCCCCCAATCCTCCTGCTCCCCCCCCTTCTCCCCACCCATGTATTTTTTAAAGATACGATCTCACTGGGGTGGAGAGATGCCTCGGTGGTTAAGCACACTGGCTACTCCTCCAGAGGACCTGGGTTCAATTCCCAGCACCCACATGGAAGCTCACAACTGTCTGTAACTCTAGTTCCAGGGGATCCAACACCCTCACACAGACATACATGCAGACAAATAAATAAAGTTAAAAAAATAAAGTTTTAAAAAAACAGTTAGGCCGCGTGGTGGCTGTGATAGTTGCCTCTCTTCCGCCACATTGAGCGGTAGTGAAGGTAGCATTAGGAAGGTTGAGAACCACTGAGTTAGAGTAAAGCTCGTTAGTGTCTGGGGCCGCTGTCTCAGTCGGGGTTACTGTTGCTGTGATAAACACTATGACCAAAAGAGCCTAGGGAGGGAAGGGTTTGTTTGGCTTATGCTTCCACACCAGTGTTCATCATCAAAGGAAGTCAGGGCAGGAACTCAAGCAGGCAGGAACCTGGAGGCAGGAGCTGATGCAGAGGCCACGGAGGAGGCTGCTTACCGGCTTGCTCCCCATGGCTTGTTCAGTCTGCTTCCTTATAGAACCCAGGACCACCAGCCCAGGGGTGGCCCCACCCACAATGGACTGGGCCTTACCCCATCAGTCACTAATTAAGAAAACGCCTTCCAAGCTGGCCTGCCTCTCAATTGACTCGGATGACTCTAGCCTCCTGGTGGGGGCAGGTGCCGGAGGAGGAGCTGGTTCTGAGGGGTGTGCTGCTGGTGTAGGTGGATCTCTGGGCTTTCTTTTGTAAGTTTGTTTCCTCTCTGAGTGTATGCCACTGCACACGTGTGAGGGTCAGAGGACAAGGTCCAGGATTGGGGTCAATGCATAGTCCAGGCTAGCTGGTTGTCCAGGCTAGCTGGCTCAGCAGCCTCTGGATGAGTCTCCTGTCTCTGCCCACTCCCACCCCACCCGACACCCTGTCTCCATCCTGCCGTAGGACTGCTGAGATTATAGATGCGGGCCAGCCACCACTGGTATCGACCTTGGCTTGTGCAAACTAGCTCCTTTTATTTTTTTACCCACCAAGCCATCTTCCCACCTATTTTGATTGACAAGACTTGGGATAGACAAGCTTTCCTCTACTGTATGTGTCTTTTCCCACAATGCACCTGGTTCTAACCATATGTACATCCAATTAGGCATAGGTATAAGTTTGCAAATACGGGATTCTCCCTAAAAAGTTCACTCAGAGGACACAGCTTGCTTTTTTGCACATGCACTCCAATCCGGTTTAGGCTGGCTCTGTCCCTGCCTCTCTTCCTGGATATGGGGTATGTTTTGGATGTGTGAACTAGAGTTTCCAGGGATTGCTAGGACTGTGTGGGTGTCTGCTGCTTCTCATTCTGCTTTCTAAATACACAGGTTGAGAATGAGTACGGCTCCTACTTCGCCTGTGATTATGACTACCTGCGTTTCTTGGCACACCGTTTCCGCTACCATCTGGGCAATGATGTCCTTCTCTTCACCACCGATGGGGCGAGTGAAAGCTTCCTGCGGTGTGGCACCCTGCAGGGCCTCTATGCCACGGTGGATTTTGGAGCAGGTCAGTGTTGGTGGTAACTAGAAAATGCTGATGAAAACTGCTTTTTCTCACAATCGCTATCGGCACAGCCGTGGCTTTAGTAGCTCGAGAAGATAGAATGAGATGTCTCAGCATTTCCTTTATCAAGCGAGCTAGTCGGCTTTGCAGTACTGTGAGGAAATACCTGAGGCCCCCAGCTTATAAAGAGGGAAGGTCTGTTTCACTGCACAGTCTGGCCTGTAACAGGAGAGTCGCATGGGTGGCCTGGGGCCCTCCGTAGGCCAGTTTACAGATAGCCCATGGGTCTTTTGGACTTGAACCTCCTGTGAATTAGGAGAGTGTCTATGGTCTCTGTGTCCAGCAATTACGAAAAGGAAAAGGAAGGGGGACTGTCTCACTCGGTTCCAGCTGTTGTCATTGTGACAGGTCTGTAGTCACGGCTGGCCTCAAATCTCTTTGTAGGTGAGGGTTATGATGCGCTTGCCGCCCCTTCCGTAGCGCTGGGATCACACAGGCTTGCATCTCTCCCACGGTTTGTGGGTACACCCCAGCCCAGTCTGGATTATTACAGCAAATTAGTGAGCTGTGCACAGTGGTACACACACCTATTCTCCCTCTGAAGGCTGAGGCAGGGGGATCGTTGAGTTTGAGATCAGTCTGGGTTGCACGGTGAATCCCATGCCAGGCTGAACTTCACAGTGAGACCCAGTCTCAGGAAGAATTAAAAGAAATAAACAGAAAAAAACTATTGTTCACAGTTCTGGGTGCTTCGAGTCCAAGATCAGGGCTCCCACGGGTGCAGTGCTGAGCCAGGACCTCCTCCTGCTTCACATATCAGTTTCTTGTTGAGTCCTGATGTAGCAGAAAGGGGTGAGGGGCCTCCTCAGTTATATGATATTAAATGCCATTCATCCATAAGAGAACGGGGAGCCGGGCGTTGGTGGCACATGCCTTTAATCCCAGCACTCGGGAGGCAGAGGCAGGCGAATCTCTGAGTTCGAGACCAGCCTGATCTGTAAGAGCGAGTTCCAGGACAGCCTCCAAAGCCACACAGAAACCCCGTCTCACAAAAAAACAAAAACATAAGGGGAAGGGCAAGGACTGGCTAAGTCACTTCCTGGAAACTCTACATCCATAAGACAACATTTTTTCATGCATTTATTTATATTGGGGGAGGGTGCTCAAGAGCCATGGAGCATGTGTTGAGGTCAGGGGACAGCTGTGGGAGTCATTTCCCTCTTCGTACCGTGTGGGTCCTGGGGATTGAACTCGAGTCATCGGCCTTGGTGGCAAGCACCTTTCTCCTCCGACCCCTCTTGCTAGCCCTCCACTTCCTATATATCTTCTCTGGGATTAGAGTCCAACTTGTGGATTCCATACCAGTGACCACAGCTCAGCTTCTTTCCTGTGCCTGTGCCTGACTTTTCTTCTCCCATTGTAATTTCCAGTCACCAATATCACGAAGGCTTTCCTAGTCCAGAGGAAGTTCGAACCCAAAGGACCTTTGGTAAGAGCTGGGGGTGCCGTGTAGAGACTGTAGGCTTGACAGGCCACAGAGGAGAACATGTGCATCTTTGGTGTTATTTTATGGCTCTAGGAGGACCAGCTGATGGGACTGGGGGGTGGGGGCATATAGCCCTTCTGGACTCACGGGTGACATCTGGGGCAGTGAGTCTAGTACAGCCCAGGGCCCCGAACTCAGTGTGTAACGGAGGCTGACTGCACCTCCTGCGCCTCCTGCACCTCCTCTCAGACACTGGGAGCAATCGTGCGCTGCCATGCCCAGGGGTAAATCAAAGCCAGGGCTTCCTGCATGCAAAGGATGGTAGTCCCCTAACTGAGCTGCGTGCCCGGGAACATGCCAGTTGCTCTGATTTGAGGAGCCTAGGAGCGGCTGGGCCAGAGGCTGGTTCCCACGTGCATTTTTTTAAGGTTTACTTTTATTATTTTTATGTCTATGTACATGTGTGTGGTTCCTCTCAGAGGCCAAGGGGGCACGTGGGATCCCCTGGAGCTGCCTGACATGGGGTCCTGGGAGCTGAACTCCAGTTCTCTGGGGGACCCTGTGGGACCCACGGGTGCTCTTAACCTCCAAACAGTCTTCAGCGAGAGACTTGTTTCTTAACTCTGGGCTTCTCCACCTGGCTTGAGGGACCTGGGTGAAACGCAGAATTCATTCTGCTGGGCCCGGGTGGACCTGATGGTCTGAGAAAGCACCAAGGATGTGTGGTTTGGCTGAGCACTTCTGATGAGGCTGCTGCTGGGGGGGGGGCCACACACGGGACAACCGGACCTCCATCAGCTCCATCAGCCCTGTGCTCCTCACTCTTCCCTCCTGGCTGCTGCAGCCACAGTGCCTTTGTTTGTACACGGAGCACAAGGAGCTTTGTTTGCAAAACAGCTCTTTGGAGCTCAGTGGAGCCTGCTCAGACAGGCAGAGCTGTTTCCTGGAACCTCTCCAGGTTCCCTTTTTCATTTCTTAATTTTTGTTTTCTTTTTGGTTTTTTGAGACAGGGTTTCTCTGTGGCCTTGGAGGCTGTCCTGGAACTCGCTTCGTAGTCCAGGCTGGCCTCAAACTCACAGAGATCCGCCTGCCTCTGCCTCCCGAGTGCTGGGATTAAAGGCATGTGCCACCAACGCCCGGCTTCCCTTTTTCATTTCTGATGTTGAACTGATGGTAAGTTGCTTGTAGACAGATGGTCGTCATGTTAGCTGGTGCATCTCAAGATCAGTATTCAAACAAAAAGAGTGAATTGTGTGTAAAGGATGTATTTGGAGCTGCTACTTTTTGGTTTTTTGTTTTGTTTTTGGGTTGTTTTTTTTTTTTTTTTTTTTTTTTTTGGTTTTACAAGACAGGGTTTCTCTGTATTGTTTTGGAGGCTGTCGGTCCAGCCCAGCCTCGAACTCACAGAGATCTGCCTGCCTCTGCCTCCGGAATGCTGGGATTAAAGGCATGTGCCACCACTGCCCAGCTGCTTTTTGTTTTTAAATAAGGTGTTAAGGGGGAGCCCACCAGAGATGGCCACTGAGACACAGCTCATAGCCAGTTGAAAGTCTTTATTCTAGTCAACTGGGACTACACTCAAGTACTGGGTGTCTTAGTGTGGCCCTGACCATTTGAACCAAGGGATTTTTAAAGGCAAAAGCCATACCTCCCACCTCGCTCAGCAGCAGCAGGAAGGAGATTTGCTCCAACAAGCAGTTCATCAGAAGCTAAAATTAACTATTAGCTGCAAGGGGGGATTTAATCCCAGCAATCCTAGCACTCAGGAGGAAGAGGAAGGTGGATCTCTATTGAGTTCAAGGTCAACCTGGTCTACAGAGTAAGCGCCAGGAAAATGGAGGCTATCCAGAGAAACCCTGTCTCGAAAAACAACAACAACAAAAAAGAATCAGTTGTGTCCCCCCCCCCAAAAAATCCCATGGAGGATTGGATACTGGATGTGAGATTCTGAACCTCAGATACTGGAGTCAGTAGCTACTCAAGTCGTTTTTGTAAAATGGTGGAGTTCTTGTAGGCTTGTATTGTACATCCTGTCCTAGGCTTAAATCCTCTTTTGGTTGCTTAAACCTGATGTAGCATAGGTACTGTGTGGATATTTTACTTTGTTTTTGGGGCTAATCATGATGGGGAGGGGCAGAGACTGCACATGCTCAGTACTGATGCAAATATTTTATCAAAAAAAAAAAAAGAGACTAGCTGTCTCATTCTCCTGCTGCTATGCCTTCCCCGCCATGAAGGACTGGCTAGTCCTTCAGAGCGAAAGTAAACCTTTCAGTCCTAAAACAAAACAAAAAAACAAAAAACATTTTTTTAATATAAGGTCTAAGGCCAGGCAGTGGTGGCGCACACCTTTAATCCCAGCACTTGGGAGGCAGAGGCAGGCAGATTTCAGTGAATCGGAGGCCAACCTGGTCTACAAAGCTACACAGAGAAACCCTGTCTCAAAAAAACAAACAAACAAAAAAAACGAATGAATGAATGAATAAATAAATAAGGTCTCCTGTAGCCCAGGCTATCTCTAATTCACCATTTAGCTAAAAATGTCCTCCTGCCTCCACCACCTGAGCACTAGGGTTACAGGTGGGCACCACCGTGCCCAGTTTGTGCAATACTCGGGATGGAACCCAGGGCTTCATTCATGCTAGACAAGCATTCTACCAACTGAGCTCCATTCCCAAATATTTCTGATTGGCAGTGGGTGGATCAGCAGTGCAGAGTTTGCACTGAGTAAGATGAGGTGTCACAATTGGCTGGCACTTGGAGACCCAGTATAGGTACTGTTGCAGTATAGATACAACTAGAGGTCCTCATGGGACCCTCCCATCTCCAGGTTAAGCATACATGTCAATCTCCCTTGTCACCTGTTCCTTGGAGACGTGAACGGGGTGTGACAGGGACACATCAACACTCTCTTAAGTGACGCCCCCCTTTCCCCTTTCAGGTCAATTCCGAGTTCTATACTGGCTGGCTAGACCACTGGGGTGACCCCCACTACACCGTGAAGACTGAAATAGTGGCTGCCTCTCTCTATGACCTGCTTGCCCGTGGGGCCAATGTGAACTTGTGAGTATCCATCCAGCACTGGGAGAGGGGACCCTGAGCTGTGGCTCACAGTCAAGTACGTGTGTTCTCTTATTTCTCTAGGTACATGTTTATAGGTGGGACCAATTTTGCCTATTGGAATGGTAAGATCCGTTTAACATCCATTAGTAGAAGCTTGTTTGTGGTGTGTGATTTGGGAGGCGGTACCTGTGGCCAATCTTTATTTTCTGTTTCCATTTGTCTCCTAAATTTTCTAACACATAAGAATCATTTTAGTGTGGGGGAAAATTTTTTTAAGGGACATAATTTGATCATTTAAGGGTCTTGTTTTCAGCCAGTTCTCTCTGGCAGTCTCGTGCGCCTGTGTGTGTGTGTTTACATGCTCTGATCTGGTCTTGTGTGTGTGCGTTTATATGTTGTGCAGGTGCATGTGTACATGTGTATCTGTGGGTTTGTGTGTATGTGGGGGCCAGGGAACAACCTCAAGTTTTCAGTCCTCGGGGACCCGCTATCTTTTTTTTTCTTAGATGAGGTCTCTCTCTCTGACCTGGTCTTCCCAAGTAGACTAAACCAGACACTGAGCTTAGGGGTCCTCCCGCCTCCATGTCTCTGCCCCCATCTCTCTCTCTCTCTCTCTCTCTCTCTCTCTCTCTCTCTCTCTCTCTCTCTCTCTCTCTCTCTCTCTCTCTCTAGTACATGCATTTGTTTTTGTGTATGTGGCTGTCAAAGAACATCTCATGGAGTTGGTCCTCCTCCTCCACCCCGTGGGTCCAACTCGGACGCCTGGGCCTGGGGGAGCATCTTTGCCCCTGAGCATCTCTCCACTCCCATCTTAATTGTTCTAGAAACCACAAAACTGACAATTTTAAATACGTATTCCACCAGATGTTCTCAGAGTCGTACAGTCCTTCCCCTCTACTTCCAGAACATTCCCCCAACCACCTGAAAGAAACTCCACACTGTCACAGTCACTCCTCTTTCCTCCTCACAGCCCCCGAAGGCCTCGAAGTTCTTCCCTGGCCCTGGCGACTCTCCTGCGGTAGATAGTTCATATAAATGGGGGGGGGGGCGCGTGGCACTCCTGCTCACATTTCTGTCATGGAATCCCCATATGTGCCTTAAGCATGCACCGCTCCCCTGTGGTGTTAATAACTTGCTGTGCAAGACAGGGACCTTAGTTTGATTTCCCCAGAGCCCATGTTAAGAAAAGCCAGGCGAGGTGGTGGCTCAGGCCTTTAATCCCAGCACTCTGGAGGCAGAGGCAGGCGGATCTCCGTAAATTCAAGGCCAGCCTAATCTCCAGAGCGAGTTCCAGAACAGGGTCCAAAGAAACCCTGTCTTGGAAAAATAAAGGAAGGAAGAAAAGCCAGGTGTGGTGGTGCACGCCTCTAATCCCAGCACTCTGGAGGCAGAGCGCTTGGAGATCAGCCTAGTCTATGGAGCAAGTCTCAGGACAGTTAGGGCTACGCAGGGGAAACCCTGACTCCAAAACAAAATGAAGGGAAGAAAAGAAAAACCAGGCGTGGCGAGGTGAGCATCTGTAATCCTAGTGCAAGGAAGGGAGGCAGGCAGCTTCCTGGGGTGTGGCCAGCCATGTAGCGGAACTGCGAGCTCCAGGCCAATGAGATACCCTGTCTCTGGAGCCAAATAAAGCGCCAGGGAGATGGTGGCTAAAGGTTCCTGCTGCCAAGCCTAAAGACCCGAGTTTGGTCCTCTGGACCTACAAAGTGGAAGGAAGAAAAATGACTCCTGAAACTGACCTCCACATAAGTGCCATGGTATATATACAAACAAAATTAATTAATTAACTCAGTTTTTTTAATCCACTCAAAACCAGATGGTTAGCTCCTATACATACACTTACACACATGTGCATGTCCACACATGCATGCCTGTACCTGCATGTGCATATATGCGTGCCCACCTGCACATACAATGCACCCATATGTATATGTGCCTCTGTGTCTGTGTGTGTGTGAGTGTGTGTGTGTCTCCAGTCGACCCGCTAGTCCCCAGTTCATTTCACCCAGGCTGTTGCATTTGTGTCTGGAAATTACACTACCCACTGACCTCCCCGCCCCCATGCCTGGCTTAGGCTGAGGACTCAAGGATCAGCATGGCTTGGTCTGCCTGTAAGGTGCATGAAGCTTAGGGCAGATCGAGTTAAATGAGAAACCCCTCGGAAGAGGAGCCACACAGAAGGTGAACTCCTTCGATGAGGATGTGGTTTGTTATCTCTCTGTGCATCTCAGGGAAGGATGTATTTGAACCTGTGCTGCTCCTGGGGCGGGCAGACCTGATGCAGAGCTGTCCCTGACGAGCAGAGGAGAGAAAGTCAATTCACCAATCTGTCCGCTGAGTGGTCCAAGTCTTCCAAAGTGACGTGCTGTGCGGCGAATTGAGGAGAAAGTGGGATGGGGGCGGGGAGGAGCCGACCTGATCTCCTCGCTCATTTGTCAGCCCTCCGACAGTGGGTCCTCGGGCCCATCATCGTGAACTTACCACTATTGACAAGCCATCGTGTTGTGTGCCTCATTTACTTACAAAGCGCTTCACGCTGACACGCCTGCATGGCCCAGTGCTGTCTGAGCGGGAAGAAGACACAAACCTGGCTGGTTTGCAGTAGGCTGCAGCAGCCCTGCCTGTTAGAAACGCAGTCTCGGGACTGCAGATGCCACCTGCTTGGTAGAGTGCCAACCTAGCCTGCAGGTGGCCTTGAATTCCGCCCCAGCCCTATAAAAACCAGGCTTGGTGGCGCACACCTGTTATCCCAGCACTCAGGGATAAGAGGCAGGAGATCAGACGTCCAAGGTCACCCTTGGCTACGTCGTAGTTTGGAGCTAACCTGGACCATCTCTGCTCCCACCCCCACAGGAATAGGGCCACCACTGCAGGGCTCAAACACTGTGTCTCGGATTTATCATATGTCTTTATGCTGTGCTTGGGTAAATTTTCAAAGGACTGGCCAGTGTTACAGGGAGCCTAAATCTGTGAGAAGCATCTTTGACAAGCTCGGGAGTTTCTTTCTGGTCTACACTCTGCACCTTGGCCAGCAATTGCCAGGGAATTCTTTTTCTGGTCATTGTGTGTCCCCAGCCCCAACTCTCCTCATTGGTCTTTGTCCCAGGGAAGTTGTATCAATCATATTTCCCATTGCTGTGACAAGACACCTAACAAAAGCAAGCATAAGGCAGGAGCTTCAGGTGGTCATCACTGCCGAAGTCTAAAAGCAGCGAGAGACGATACTGGAGCACAGCCGGCTTTGTCCTTAGTGTAAGACACCAGCCTATAGGATGGGACCTCCTTCCATATTTAGGGTGGATCCCCTCACCACAATTAACCTAGTCTAGAAACTCCCTCACGGACATACCACAGAGGTTTGTAGTATCAGCCGTCACAGGGGTAGGCCCCCCGACAGCCAGCAAGACAATCCTTGATGTGTCTGGAGAGCAATATCTGCCACACTGAGGAATGACTGGGTGTAGAAGGCCGGGGTGATGTAACTGTGAGTGGCGTCAGTCTGTCCTGAGGAGTTCTGGAGCACAGAGGGGGTTTGTGTGTCCCCAGTCTGATTATAGGCTTTCCCTGGAGGGATTTTACAGAGGAAAAGCAGGCCAGAGAACCGGCGGCTCTTCCGGAGGACTGGATTTGATTCCCAGAATCCACATGGTGTCTCACATCCATCCCTAACTCCAGTCCCAGGAGATCTGACACCCTCTTCTGGCCTCTGTGGATCAAGCATGGCATATATGCTAGGACACACATACACATAAAATGAAATTAAAATAAGAAAAGAATGACCTTGAATTTCTGATCCCACCACATTTCGTGTCTGCCGTGCAGGGGAGGCACCTGACCAGCTGGATCCCAGCTCTGACGATTTGGCTTTTTAGGTATCTGTTTGTTTGTTTGGTTGGTTGGTTTGTTTATTTGTTTGTTTGTTTGTTTTGACAGGGTTTCTCTGTATAGCCCTGGCTGTCCTGAAACTTGCTCTGTGGACCAGGCTGGCCTGGAATTCGGAGATCCACATACCTCTGCCTCCCAAGTGCTGCAATTAAAGACGCGCACCACCACCTCCTGGCTGTTTAATGTGTCTTTCATTTCTCCTCACCCTAACCTGAGCCCCTGAGCAAGGCCTTCAGTACCAACCAGTGACTTTTCTGTCTCCTAGGTGCCAACATTCCCTATGCGGCACAGCCCACCAGCTATGACTACGATGCCCCACTGAGTGAGGCAGGGGACCTGACCGAGAAGTATTTTGCTCTTCGAAATGTCATCCAGAAGGTGGGTGCTTCCAACTCTTGGCAAGCTGGACTGGTGGGGAGCCTGCCATGAAGTCCTTATGGCTCTGTAGGTGACTTCCTGCCAGAACCTTATTGACAGAGTGGATGAGGGAGAGGCATGGTTTGGGGTGCAGCCACACCTGATGAAGACTGCATGGGTTTATCAGCAAGATTATAGGCTCTGTACCCTTCGTCTGATAAGAGGGTACCTAGCCACACCATAGAGAGAGCAAAGGACGTGTATAAGCCATCCAGGACTTGACATAGTCTGTCCAGCAAGTAGAAGCCAGCAAATGTGTCCTTGTGGTAGCTCAAGCGTGTAGGGAGGACAGTAGACACCAGTGTGCAGAGCAGACGGGCACTGTGCTGAGAGAGACACTGTTCTATCTGGGGCAAGTGACTGCTGTTTCCTCTAGCTGGCTCGGGAAGCTCTTGGTCCTGCCAGCAGCCAGCCTTTGAAGCACCTAAAGTCCTCAGGTGGGGTTTCCTGTCTCTGTGGTGAGTTAAAAAAAAAAAAAACAAAACCCACAGTTTTTCTGCTCAGTCACCTGAGTTTTGAAGTTTAAAACAACATAGGTTTTCTGTCTATAAATGGTAGAAGTTAAGTGTCATATAATGTCAGTTTTAAGTATGTGTTAAGATTTGTGTTAGGAAATATTTTCTTTTGTTTTTGGAGGGTTTTTTTTGTTTGTGTTTTGAGACAGGGTCTATCTATATAGACGAGGCTGGTACTTTGAATTTACAGAGATCCGCCAGCCTCTGCCTCCCAGGAGCTGGGATTAAAGGTGTATATCACCACAGCTGGCATGTTATAGAAAAGGCTTGATATAAAACGGGGGTGTTGCACACCTATAATCTGGAGGTACAGTAAGAGGATCAGGAGTTAAATCATTCTCAGTTATATAGTTCAAAGCCAGCCTGGTCTATGTAAGACCCTGGGGGGGGGGGGAGAGAGACAGAGACAGAGAGAGAGAAAGAGAGATTGAGATTCTCACCTAAAATTTCTTTTCCACCTTTTAAAATTTTTATTTATTTTTTATTTGTTTTGTGTGTGTGTGCGCGCGCACACACACACACACACACACACACACACACGTGGGGGGTGTCCCTGAGATGTTAGAAAAGGGCACTAACCCCCTGGAGTGGGAGTTACAGGCAGTTGTGAGCTACCCAGTGTGGGTTGATACTATTACCTGAACTCAAAAGAGCAGCAAGCATCCTTAACCCCTGGGCCATGCAGCCCGGCTCATTGTAACTCTCATTCTCAGAGTCTGATTTCTGTTGTGTATGTGAGCGTGTACGTTTGTAAGTATACACACGTGTCTTCCTCAGTCACTCCCCATCTTATTTTTGAGGCAGAGTCTCTCCCTGACCCTGGAGTTCACTGCTTCAGCTGGGCTGGGTGGCCGGCAAGCCCCAGGAGCCCCGCCACCTCCACCCCCCATTCCTGGGATCACAGGCACACGCCGCCCTGCCCAGCCTCTGGTGGGTTGGGCACTGAACTCAGCTCCTGGTCTCTGTGTGGCATGTGCGTCAGGGCCACTTCTGCAGCCCCACCCGGGATTAAGTTCAGCTGGGGATTTTTTTGGGGGGGCGGTTAATTTCTTCATGTCTCCCTTTTCTTGTTTTTCTCCTCTTTATTCCTTTTATCTCTGTCTTGTTTAAAGATGTTTTTGTTTTTTGTCTCCTCTTCTGGTTGGGAAGGTTTTTTGCGTGTTTTTGTTTTCTTACCCATTCAAGTGTGTTATCTCTGCCCTTAAGAGAACCAGGTTTCCAAGGCCACTGTGTATGCAAAGTGCCCAGAATGCAGCAACCAACGCCCAGTGGGAGCTCCCTGGTGCCTCTTCCTCACCCTCACCACTCACTCCCTGCCCCGAGCTAACCACTGCCCCGACTTCCTGTTGCCATGTATTAGCTTTACTTGTTTCGCTCCTGCTATAAATGGATTCGTACAGTATGCCCACCTCCATGTCTGGCTATCAGGAAGCTGCGGTGCTCAGTTGTAGTTTGTAATAGTGGAGAACTTGGTTGATAGAGTGCTCGCCTGGCATAGAGCCCTGGATTTGATACCCCGCGCTGTGTAAGGGTGCGGTGAGACACACCTGTAGCGCCGACATTGGGCAGGTAGAAGCAGGCAGAGCAAGAGACTCAGAGTCATCCTTGGCTACGTAGTGAATTTGAGACCATCCTGAACTGCATGAGACCCTGCCTGGAAAAAAGTACATTTAAGGGCTGGAGAGATGGCTCAGAGGTTAAGAGCACTGACTGCTCTTCCAGGGGTCCTGAGTTCAATTCCCAGCAACCACATGGTAGCTCACAACCATCTACAATTCAATCTGGTGCCCTCTTCTGGCATGCAGGCTGAACACTGTGTATATAATATGTAAATAAATGTTTTTAAAAAAATTTTTTTAATGTAATAAGGGGCTGGCGAAATGGCTCTACACTTCCGGTAGACCTGAATTCAGTCTCCAGTCCCCACAGTACCTAAGCTGGGCACGATGGCAAACACGTGGAATCCCACTTGGAAGGTGGAGCCAGGAGGATCAGGAGTTCAAGGTCATCCTCAGCTGTCTCCAGAATTTGCTACTTGGGATCTAGCTTTAATTAATTATGTAATCCAGACCACAATGGCTTCAGAGAATGTTTTTATCCATATGGCTCCTTCCTTCACAGATGATTAAACAGATATGTGTTTGGTTTGTGCTAGCTGGGTTTAGCTTCTTGGTGCATACAGGCCTCCTGCAAAAGGTAAAATCTGAGCCGAGACTTACAGGCAGAGATGAGAGGGTCGCGTGTTGATGGCCAGGGCTGGAACATTGTCAGAGCTCGGCCACTGAGGGGCAGGTGCCCTGCTATAGGATGCATTGGAAGGAGCCAGCAGTGGAGTCTGGGGAGATGGGTGAAGCCAGGGTCAGTATGCAACTGTTCCTACGTCTCCTAGGCCAGACTGAGAGCGCTTTACTCAGGGAGGATGAGTGGCAGAGCGCAGGACTTCTGCAGGACTGTGCAGCTGCGGGAGCTGACCAGGAGGCGGGCGGAGTGAAGCAGGAAGACCAGTTAGGGACTGGTGGTGAGTGCAGCGTGAGTGCACACGGTCAGTCAGCCTCAGAGCACAGTGTGGCCGTGGGAAGCCACGCACCGTGGTTCACACCTGTAACCTCAGCACTTGGGAAACTGAGCTACCAAGAGTTCGAGACCGACCCTGGGCTACACAGTGAGTTCTAGGCCAGCCTAAGATAGCCACAGTGTGAAACCCTGTCTCCAGGAGGGAAGGGGAGAGAGAGGGGAAGGAAGAGGTGTGAGTTCAGCTCCTAGTGTTGTTCTGAGGCAAGTGTGAGAGAAAAGGTAAGAGTCGGATGGGGGGGCTGGGAGGTTGACAAGAGTGTTCCTCACCAAGGCTGAGGACCTGAGTTCAAGTCCCAGGATCCACAAGGTAGAGAGAGAAAAGTGACTCTTAACCATTGTCATCTGATCTCCACATGCAACCTGTGGCAGTGTACACACACACACACACACATACACTAATAATAATAATAATTTTTAATGGGGGTACATACCTTTAAGCCCAGCACTCACGAGACAGAAGCAGATGGGTCTTTATGACTGAGGCTAGCCTGGTTCACAGAGTGAGTTCCAAGACAGTCAGGAGAACACAGAGGAACCTTGTTGTGAAAAACAAATAAAAATAAATAAATAAACCCCGTAATAACCATAACCAAATTTCTCTCACTGTTGGCCTGACAACTCCAAAGATGAAGTTGTCACCTGTGTAGTGGAGATCACCTGTGTGTGTGGGGGTGTGGGAAGGTGTGGGGGGGTGTGTATGTGTGAGTGTGTGTGTGATACTCCTGTGAAGGTCAGAGACATCTCCATGACAGCAGAGGGTGTCTGCCGGCCACACAGCGGCTGAGACTGCATGTTGAGTGTGAGGGAGAGTAAACAGGGCCATGCAGAAGACCCACCCAAGAGATCCCACGTGTCTAATGATCAGGCCATAGAGGGCAGACCTGGAGGGGAGCCATCGGCACAGTGAATGTGACAGCCAGTGAGGAGCTCGGCAGGAAGGTGATCACCAACAAAGTTCAACCTCCAGGCCCTTCGGGGTAGGAGAGCACTGACTCCTACAAGTCCTCTGTCCTCCATGTGTGGGCACCCATGTAATAGTTTCTTAATGTAATAAGTAAAATCTTTAAAGAAAACGAACGCGATAGATTCCAGTTTAACATGTGACCCTCTCATTCCCTCCTTCTCTCTCTTCTCTCTCTCACCTCACTTCTTTTCCTCTCGTTTCTTCCTTCTTTTGTGATGTTTCAGGTCTAAAGGGCAGGAACGGCTCGCTGTGTATCACCATCAGGTCTGGAGGATAGAGATGGCTTGTTTTTTCATTCACTCACTACTTATTTATTTATTTGTCGGTTTTTCAACACAGGGTTTCTCTGTGTGACCCCAGCTGTCCTGGAACTCACTCTGTAGACCAGGCTGGCCTCGGATTCAGAGATCAGCCTGCCTCTGCCCACCCACCAAGTGCTGGAATTAAAGGTGTGGGTCATTACCACCTGGCTCTGGAATGACTTATATTTTAAAAGACAGTGGAACCTTCTGTTTCTTCCTCCCGACGCTGGGGATCACTCCCAGGGCCTTGCACACACTAGGCAAGCCGTCTACCGCTGAGCAACGTCTCTGGTCCTTAATAGTCTTTCTCATGGGATTTGCAGTATGTCTGCAGTAGGTAACTGATTTGTTAGAGTATTTGGAATATTCGCTTGCAGGAGGAAGGAAAATACCTATGACAAGTACCCCATGTAGACTCTGCCTGGCCCCTCCCTTCTCCAAAGATTTAGGTAGTGGAAAGTCTCTCCCAGAGAATCAGTGTTACTGGTACCCAAGTGGAGATGTCTCACTCTGCCTTGGGTGGAGATGCACATGTCTCACTGTGCCTTGGATGGAGATGCACATGTCTCACTCTGCCTTGGATGGAGATGCACATGTTTCACTCTGCCTTGGATGGAGATGCACATGTCTTACTCTGCCTTGGAAGGAGATGTACATGTCTCACTGTGCCTTGGACTATGGAGAGAATGGCTTCCCTGCTGGCTGCGTAAGCCTATACTCACTGAAAAAGGTCACGTGTGAACCATCAAGGCTTGACAAAATTTGTGACATTTGCATTTTTCTTAGATACTGTCTTTGGTGTGGGTAAAACTGAACCAGACACGGTTAACACTTTGACCATAAAACTATAGGGCAGAGCCTCCTCCCTCTCCAGTCCTGATGAGGCAATGATGGTTCTATGTTTTTGAGCTCTTAATAAATTGGTAACCTGCTTTTAGTAGTTCTATAAAACCTGTGTGTGTGTGTGTGCATGTGCAAGTGTGCGTGCCCATACGCGCACACACACACGCCTGCGAGCTGGTCTGTGCATACATGTGTGAGGGACAGAGGCCAACCTCTGCTATCTTCCCCTGACTCTCGTCTATTGTTTGAGACAGCTAGACTGGCTGCCTCGAAAGTCCTACCACTATGTCCCCTGAGGCTGGGTTACATGTGTACCACCATGTACCACCACACCTGACTTTCACAGGAGCCCTGAGGATCTGAACTCGGGTCCTCATGCTTCCATGGTGGGCACTGTCCCCAGCCCAGCCATTGGCCTCTGACTCATGTCTGAGCAGAGTTGCTCATGCTGGTTTCTGGCTGTGTAATAGTATGGGAATCCTTAACGCATGACTTAATATGAGGTTAATAAAGCTGTTTTGGATATTTCTCACAATGAACAAGGGCTGTTTATAGCCTCACAAAATGCTAAGCAGAATCTGTTTGTAGGATGAATGAAGACATGAGACTAGAGCAGGACAAGCCAGTTCCCGTGGAATCTACTGGATTCCCTGGTGGGGGAAGAGCAGCTCTCTTCTGAGTATGCCCCTCTGAATGCTGTGACAGGCTGTATTGTTGGTCAGTCTGAAAGCCATGTTTTGGGCACAGATTATGATGGAGAAATGTAGTGGCATCCGGTCTTGCCAGTGAACCTGGAGAAGTAGCCACACCCTTTGGGTGTGGTTTCAGGTGCAGACACGACCCCTTTAAGGTAGAGTAGCTGTGGTGGTCATTTACTCTCATCTGTGTAAGTTGTTCTCCAATAAAACACCTATTTATCTTTATCTTGGGTCTGGTGAACTCCTTAATTCCCCACCTTCAGAGAAGTAAATGTTAAGAAGTATAGCATTTGTGTTCATTTGTTTATTTTCTGAGACATTAATTACCTGGATAGGATGTTATGACTTTGCTAAGCAATAAACTACTACCAATAAATCATTAAACAGAAGTTGGGTGTTGGTGACGCATGCCTTTAATCCCAGCACTCGGAAGGCAGAGGCAGGCAGATCTCTGTGAGTTCGAGGCCAGCCTGGTCTACAGAGTGAGTTCCAGGACAGCCTCCAAAGCCACAGAGAAACCCTGTCTCGAAAAACCAAAAAAGAAAAAGAAATTTAACGGAAATGAGACATGGTGGTACCTGATTTTAATCCCAGCACTAAGGAGGCACAGGCAGGCAGATCTCTGAGCTCAAGGCCAGTCTGGTCTACAGAGTGAGTTTCAGGACAGCCAGGGCTACATACACAGAAACCTTATCTTGAAAAACTAAAAGGAAGAAAAGAAAAAAAAAATCACTTCACAGATGTGTGTCTAAAAGATTAACAGTTTTTCCCTCTTCTCTTCCCCACTCTGCTTCATAGTTTAAAGATGTCCCGAAGGGTCCTATCCCTCCGTCTACACCCAAGTTCGCCTATGGGAAAGTCGCTCTGAGAAAGGTGAGATGACACAGAGTTGGGAGTGAAGCTCAGTGGGTAGTGTGCTTGCCCGGCATGCATGGAGCCCTGGGTTCCGTCCCCAGTAGCTCATCAGCCAGGCGTGCCGGACACACCTGTCACCCTAGCATTCGGAAGGACCAGGGGTTCAGGGTCATCCTTGGCTACATAGTGAGTGAGAGGCTAGCCTGGGCTAAGTAAAAAAAATCCTGCCTCAAAAAAGGAAACAGAAAGTGTCACATCCTCACTGAGAGTCCGGTGGGGAGACACGGTGAGTGAAAGTGACGCAGGCCGGGCCTTGTTTTTCTCCGAGCTTGTTTTCTGAGTGACTGACACGTCTCGGGCGTGAGGAGATGGGGGATAAGATGTGGATGGGAACTGACGGGTGTGAAGACACACCACAGGGAGGGAGAGGTATTCTCGGGCCACTCGGGTCATTTTGGGTCAGCTCGGCTTTCTCCCACCGTTTACCTCTTTAATTTTCTTCTTCATTACATTTATTTTGGGAGTTGGGAGACATGCATGCCATGATCTCCAAGTGGAGGCCAGTGGACAGGATGAGAGGGTCTGGGGACTGGAACTCAGGTCATCAGACATGATGGCAAGCTCCCTTACCTGCTGAACCATCTTGCCGGCCCCATCCGCCCCGTTTTAATGAGTTCCTCCAAGCCCCGGGAATTTTGACATCTCTGCCCTTAAGTTAGATCCAAAAATTATTGAACACTGGAGCATCAGAGGAGAAATACGGAAATTAATCATTAGTAAGAGGTAAGATGATTTTATTCTGGGAAAACAGAAGAGAGTTACTTAATGGTTGGAGGAGGGATGTATCAAAATTGGTTTGTGTTGACTCTCTGGGTCTTCAGATTTTCCCCTCGACCCATCCCTTACTCCTACATGTATTCGTTCACCAGAAAAAGGAAAAAAACATGAAGAGTCACTTATTTCTTAAGAATATCAAAATTCTAAAATAGTAACATAAGTTTTTATCTTTTAAGCCAAGCACCAAACACCATAGTAGTTTTTCCATTTGAAGCCCTCTGACTTCTGGTTGGCTGCCTGTGCTTCTGTAAAAGTTTCCACCCCGGGTGGAATCCTGTGCCACGTTCTACAAAGAGTGTGGTCTCTGATAGGAATCTCTCCTTAGATTAATCACCCCTGCATCACACTTGGACAGGGAGCTTGTTCATCTCTGTAGCTGCTTAAGAAAAAAATGGCTGCTTGGTTTTAAAACAATAAGAAGTTCTTTTATGTGATATAAAAAGAACTCCAACTGTTTAAAACAACAGCAATATTAAAGTTGAAAACATTTAAAAAGAAAAATACAGCTAGTACCATGGAGGAAATCAGCAAACTGACCATGGTAGCTCATGCCTGTAATCCTAGCACGTTGGAAGCTGAGACAGGAGGATTACTGTTTTGCTCGAGACCAGCCTGTGCTACATAGTTGTGTTTGAGGCTAGCCTGGGCTATAGAGAAAGGTTCTGTCTCCAAACAAAAAGGCAAGGGGGAGCAGATATGTTAGCACATGCTTGGAAGTGGGAGGTAGGAGGATCAGGGTGGTTATTTTAGCTACATAGTGAGTTCCAGCCTGGGCTACAGGAGACACTTCTGGCTAATAAACTCAAAATAAAACACAAGAAACAAGGGAGGAGGAAATTAGTATGCAACCATATTCAATTTATGCAAAACATAGTATACAGGATTGAAATTTTTCATTTATTTAAGATTGTGTGTGTGTGCACATGTATACTCTCGAGTGTTCAAGGGAGCATGTGTTCACACTCATACACACTTGTGGAGGTCAGAGGGCAACTTTCAGGAGCCTTGACACAGGCTTGGAAGCCAGCATGCGATATGGTCGTGGCAGATCTAATCTCAGAGTCATTTGCCTCGAGCTACTGACTGTCTTTGCTTCAGAGTTCTTCCTCACTTGAGAACCTGTTGAATGCTTTGCAGAGGCGGCAGCCTCCGCATCTTGGATGCCAGCCTTTCTTAGATAGATAGCTCTGCTGTGCTGTACTTCTGAATGGGTGCACCTCAGACTCTTTTTTAAGACTACCGTCATTTACATTTTCATCAATGGTTAGGAGAGATGGCTCCACAGTTAAGAACACTCACTGCTCTCTTTTTAGTTTGGTTTTGTTTGAGATAGGTTTTCTGTATGCTGTCTTGGGTATCTTGGGTCTCAATGACTAGAACAGGCTGGCCTCCAAGTCACATTTGCTTGCCTCCCAAGTGCTGGGATTAAAGCTGTGTGCCACCTTGCCCAGATTGGACTCCTGTTCCAGAGGATCCAGGTTCCGTTTCCAGCACCTACATGGCAGCTAACAACCATCTTTTACTCCAGTTCACACATACACACACACACACACACACGCACGCACGCACGCACGCATGCACGCACGCACGCGCACACACACACTATGGTGGCAAACACCTTTAATCAAAGCACTAGGGAGGCAGAGGCCTGGTCTACGTAGCAAGTTCCAGGACAGCCAGGGCTACATAGTAAGACCCTGTGTCAAAATAAATAAATAAACAAAAATGTTAAGAGCAGGGCCTGGGGCTGCAGCTTAGTGACAGACAACTTACTTGTCCACCCTGTGGGATACCCTGGTTCAGTCCCCAGCACTGCAAAAGATAAAAATGGTAAGAAATAAAGGCTGTGTATTAGCTCGATTAGTGGAGGGCCCGCTTGGCACGTAGAAAGCCCTGAGTTTGAAGCCCAGCACTCTGAAATAAGATGGGTGTGGTAGGGAAGATCAATGTCATCCTTGGCCACATAGCAAGCCTGAGGCCTGCCTGGGACCCATGAGATTCTGTCTCAGAAAGAACGGGTTGGGGGTGGGGAGGAGAGGAAGAGAAGAAAAGGAATGAACAAAATTAAAGGTGATTGTGAAGTAAATGGAACTTGGACAGTTGAGGTTTATCTCAGTGTCTTTCATAATACAGACTAATGTAACTGCCCCCCCAAAGTCCCCACCCCATCCCACGACACCCCCAATCACTGGTGATATGATGCTGATCTGTTTTTGCTTCTTTTCAGTTCAAGACGGTGGCAGAAACTCTGGACGTCCTGTGTCCCAATGGACCGGTGAGAAGCCGCTATCCCCTGACGTTCATCCAGGTTAAACAGGTGGGTCTCCACAGGAAACTCTGTCTTCCTCCTGGTGGTACGGGTGTTTCCTTATCACATCCTAGGCATGCATATTTGAATACTGAGAAATGGCGGTTTAGGGCTGAGGGCAGGACTCCTTTGTAAGGTGCTTGCCTGACATGACAAGGCCGCGGGTTCGATCCCCGGCACCGCAGAAACGGGGTATAGTGGTATGCCTGTAATTCCAGCCCCTGGGAGGTGAACAAAAGTTCAGGATCAATCTCATTTACACAGTATTCAAGGCCAGCCTGGGCTACATGAGACCCTGTCTCACAAAAAAGAATAATCAACTCAATTTTTCCTTCTTAGAGGTTCATTTTTCTTGGATTGGAAAGAAGACCATACATGTGTGTGTACATGTGTTCATACATGTGTGTGCCCTATGCTTGTATGTGCTTAATTTCTAGCACTCCCTTGTCTCTCTAGAAGTTTCTCTCAACTTTTTATTTTACAAGATTTTGCCCTGTCCACTTTATTTTATTTTACTTTTTGGTTTTTTGAGACAGGGTTTCCTGGCTGTCCTGGAGCTTGCTCTGTAGACCGGGCTGGCCTCGAACTCACTGAGATCCACCTGCCTCTGCCTCTCGAGTTCTGAGATTAAAGGTGTGCGCCACGAACGCCCGGCTGCACTTTTCATCTGATTTTTCAGTTAGCAGTAGCTTTTGCTGCTTAGTGTGTGTGTGGTGAATTGCTTTTTCCTTTTAAGCATCTGCCTGCCTGTGTGATCTGTCCATAACAGACTCCTCAGAGGATGAGGATAGCACTGACCTAGGTTTCCAGGAGGGGAGGGAAAGTGTTCTCTGCAGACTTGGTTCAGGCAGCCCGTGTAGGCACCCCGTGAGTGAGTGGGCCCCCCTTCGCAGCCTGCATACACCATAGTTAAACTGAAAGGTATGGTGTGGGCTCGTCCTAGACCCAAAACACGGAGGCTCAGGTGCCCCACCCAGATCCAGATCCGGAGCAGTACACTGCAGGGGTCCCGAAGCACAGCTCTGAGACCGGTGGCTGCCGGGACTGTAGAGTGGCCCCTGTAATCGTTAATGAAAACTGGCCAGTGTGGGGCCCCGCTCTCCTGGAACCAACTGTGAGACAGTCGTTGAAGCAAAACAAGTGTAAAATTAGCAACTGGAAGAAATGCCAAGCTAAGATTAGATGAGGGCGACCTCCACGGATAGCCAGGAAGGCAGACTCAGGTGACCTAACACTTCAGAAGATAGGGCTCAGATCCCAGCGAGGTAATCAAATGTGACAAGGGGCCAAGTGACCCATGCATCCGTGCCTCCCCCGGGAGGACATGTCTCCTCTGCTGTGTCCACATAAAAGGCATTTTACTGACTCCAACAAGGGAGGGTTGGTCTAGGATCAGTCTGAACTCTTCAGAAACTATTGATGTCAGTCCAGCTGAGGTAGCCACATATGTAATGGCAGCATGTGAGAGGCACTTAGAGAGCTGGAGGCCAGGCCTCCACAGGAAGGTCCAGCCTGGCCTCCACAGGGAGGTCCAGCCTGGCCTCCACAGGGAGGTCCAGCCTGGCCTCCACAAGAAGGTCCAGCCTGGCCTTGTCTCAAAACAAAAACAAAAATGAGGAAATCCAATACAACAACAGAAATTCTAATGAGACCATGCATTAGAGACTAGATTTAGAAAGAATTTAAGGGGTTGAAGAAATGGTTCAATAGTTAAGAGCACTGGCTGCTTTCCCAGGGGACCTAGGTCAATTCCCAGCACCCACATGCCAGCTCACAACTGCCTGTGACTCCAGCGCCAAGTGTTTCAAAGCCTCTGGCCGGCACTCATGAGCACATGCCTGCACATGTGCGTGCACACGCATGCCGAGCATGGCATGATTTCCGCATGTAGCCGGGTGTGGTCGTACACATATCAGCACTTGGGAGGTAGAGGCAGGACAGGAAGCTGAAGACTGCCCTTGCTTACCTAGTAAATTCCAGGGCAGCCTACATTGCCAGAGTCTTGTCTCAAAAATAAATATCACCCCGATTTGGTAGCAATACCTGCCCCCCCAACTCTCTCTTTCCTCTTTGCTTCAGATAGTTTCAGATTGAGTCTTGTTTTGTACCCTAAGGCAGATTTAGCCCGAGCCTGGAGAATGTTTTAACTGAGCGGAGCTCAGTGTTTGGGGGCTTTTCCTGGCTTAGAAAAAAATGTTTATGTGTGTGCTTGCTTTGTCTGCTTGCCTGTGTGCACGCCTGTTTCCTGCAGAGGCCGAAAGAAAGCTTCATACCCCAGGAGTAGACTTGTGAACCCAGGCCCCTGCAAGAGCAGCAAGTGCTCTGTATTGCTGGGCCGTCTGTCCCTCCAGACCCTTTTAAAGTTGCTAGCACGTATTTTGTTGGAGTGAATATGTGTGTGTACCTCAGCGCACATATGAAGGTCAGAGGACAACTTGTGGGAATGCGTTCTGTCCTTCCATCGCGTGGGTCCCGGGGATTGAACTCAGGTCATCAGGCTTTGTGGCAAGCTCCTTTACCCCCTGAGCCATCTCACGAGCCCTTGACTGGCTTGAGTTAATAGTAGTGACCTCTGACGTGTAGGGTGTGACTTCACCGTGTCACTCTGGGCAATGGCTTGGCTTTTGTTTCCCCATGTGGGCTGAGAAGAGAGTCCCTGGCTATTCACATAGTCTGCCAAGATCAAAATTGTCATCTCGAATTTGGCAGTGGGTGGGGGAAGGTTTTCATCCACATCAAGGACAACCAGGTTCTTAGTAGCCAAACTTTGAGAGTGAAGCATTTCTCTTATATCCTTTCCCAACCAGTATTTTGGGTATGTGCTGTACCGAACAACACTTCCTCGAGATTGCAACGACTCGATGCCCATTTACTCCTCACCCTTCAGTGGTGTCCATGACCGGGCTTACGTGGCTGTGGATGGGGTAAGCGTTCTCTTCGAACTAGGCATCTAAGCCTTGACGGGGGATGGGGTGGTCTACATGATGCTTTTGTCACATCTCCAGTTTCAGCCTGTGTCCCTTGGCAGTGACCTTGCTGGCTGATATGGCCCACCTGCTGCAGTCTCAGGGCTGTCCCCGATACTCACACTCTAGGAAATGCTGAGTCTCCTGAGCCCAAGGTCATCTCCTTCCCTGACTGAGCTCAGCCTGTCACCCAGGCTGCATTTTTGGTACCTGTCACCATACAAAGTGTGTTGACCTGGGCGTCTCCCACTAAGTGAGATGTCATAAAGGGTTTCTGCTCGTGACATTGTGACTAAAGTGTACCAAGGATGTTGATTTCACAGCAAAACGCAGACACATTTTAAACACCCTTCCCAACATCTAGTATGATAGATAGCACATGCCTGCAATCCCAGCTCTCAGAAAGCTGAGGCAGGAGAATTGCAAGGCCCAGGCCAGCCTACACCTACAGGATGAAACCCAAGGCCTAAAAAACAAGAGCAACAAGGATAAGAGAGCCAGAGCCTGTGAGACGGCTCAGCAGGTGATGGCACTTGCCCCTGGCTGAGCCTGATGGCTGAGTCTGGCCCCTAGGACTCTGGTACAGAGCAGAGACCCCTGCAGGCTGTCCCCCTGTCCTCTGATTGCCAGTTGGGTGCCTTAGCACTTGTGTGTGCACCCACAGCAAATGAGTTACAAATGCAGTAATAAGAAAGGTATCCAAAGCTGTTCTCCTCATGGGAAGATTTTTCTCAGCAAGGAATTTTTTTTTCAGAAAATTTTTATAGTTTAGAGGGGTTTTTTTGGGGGGGAGGTGGTTTTTGTTTTTTGAAACAGGGTCTCGTGCAGCCCAGACTAGCCTCAGACTTGCTTTGTGTCCAGGATCAGCCTTGAACTCCCGATCTTCCTGCTTTACCTCCGAAGCGTTGGGGATTACAGGTGTGCACAGCCACATTCGGAGTAGTTTAAAGTAACATTTCCATTCTCGGCTGGGGAGACAGCTTGCCTTGCAAGCATAAGGGCCTGGGTTTAGCCATACATGCAGGCAAAACACTCATACACAGAAATAAATGAAATAATAATAATAATAAACCAGGTGTGGCAGTATAACCTCAGTGGGGGGGGGTGTGGACAAGAGGACCTCATGGGAGCCTGGCCAGCCAGCTTAGTCTCCTCGGTAAGTTCCAGGTGAGCAGGAGACCTTACCTCCAAAAGGAAGTGGACCGATTCTGAGGAATGACACCTAAAGTTGTCCCTTTGTCCTCTGCACACATATACATGTGTGTGCTTTCGTGTGAACACGTATGTACACAGTGTGTGCGGGGAGCTTTATTTTGTAATCAACAGATTCAATTTCAGTGGTGAAATGTGACACTGCTTGTCATTTCCTGGCCTTCATTAGGAGTCGTGTCTTGGTGACTTACGGTCAGTGTGACCAGTCTTAAAGATAACCTCTTAAATTAGGGATGGGGTTGGGGATTTAGCTCAGTGGGAGTGTACTCGCCTAGCAAGTCCAAAGTCCTGGGTTCCGTTCTCAGCTCCAGAAAATTAGTTAATAAACTGATCGATTCAAATAAAAAGTTAGGAATGTGTCCTTGAGAAAATACCTGTTGTTTTCCCTTGTTCTGTTACATAATCTCTGTGATTAATGCATCCTAGCAAGTGAGGTGAGCTGACTCCACCTAACTCCGATTTTATCTCTTACCTGATTTTATCTGCTCCCTCCACGTGTTTAAAGGCTGTTTCTTTCTACCTAACTTGGGCTGTGAGATCGTGCAGTAGTTCCTTCTCACAAGAACACAACCCTGGAATGTCTTGTGTGTTTCATTCCTTTAAATATAGACTTGTAGGAGGCACACCTAAAAGCTTGGCATGTGAGATGCGGGGGCGGGAGAGGCAGGCGTTCCAGGGAGGCATTGGTTACATAGGACAAGGCCAGCCTGGGCTACTTGAGACCCTCTCTCAAAAAAGCAAATAAGCAAGCAAGCAAAAAGAAATGAAACGAAGAAGGCCTGCGAGCTGGCTCAGTAGATAAGGGGGCTTGCTGCCAGGCCTGATGACTTGAGCTCAATCCCTGGGACCCACATGACAGAAGGAAAGAACTGACTTCAGGTTGTCCTCTGACCTCCACATACATCATGGTACACATGACACACACACACACACACACACACACACACACACACATCACAGCAAAAAGATGCCTGAGCCAAGCATGGTGGTTCACACCCGTAAAGCATTTGTGAGACGGAGTCAGGAAGGTCTCAAGTTCAAGACCAGCCCCTCACCGTAGCCCATTCTCAGGCAGAGAAGTACCCTGAGCTGTGCGAATCCATCCTCCACTTTAGGAAGTCAGTGAGATTGGGAATTTGGCCCTCTGGCCAGGGTCTCGGCCTGAGCATATCTGGACTCTCCCTGTAAATCTGATGACAGTTTAGGACAGGAAAAGTGACAGATTAGCTGTGCTCACTGCTCTGTTTCTCTTATCCAACCCTCCATTTGGCCTTTGGCTTCAACCCACAGGTCCCCCAAGGAATCCTTGAGCGAAACCGTGTGACATCCCTGGACATACGGGGGAAAGCTGGAGCCGTTCTGGACATTCTGGTGGAGAACATGGGGCGCGTGAACTATGGCAGATACATAAATGACTTTAAGGTAGGACACTCATATGAGGGGTAAGCCTGTGCAAGTGGTTGGAAGGAGTTTTGGTCATGCATTCAACAACAGCTTTGTTCTACCATGTAGACAGAAGCACATTTCAACTCTTTTTCCTTTCTTTTCTTTTTTCTTCTTTTCTTTCTTTTGAATTTCTCTGTGTAGCCCTGGCTCTCTTGGAACTCACCCTGTAGACACGGCTGGCCTCCAACTGCCCTTGCCTCCTCAGTGCTGGGATTAAAAGGGTGCCCACCACTGCCTGTCAACTTTTTGATCTTCCTGCCTCCACCTCCTAAGTGCTGGGATCACAGCTGTGTGCCACCGTCCTGTTGATGAAGTTCTGGGGATTGAATCCAGGACCTCGTGCACACAAGGCAAGCACTCTAGGAACTGAGCTACATCCCCGGCCCCTAGCATTTTGAGGTGTGTGTGTGTGTGTGTGTGTTCTGAATGATCACCACAGGCCAGCTGTCACACATCACAGCATCTGTGTGTGTGTGTGTGTGTGTGTGTGTGTGTGTGTGTGTGTGTGCTCTGAATGATCACTACAGGCCAGCTGTCACACATCACAGCATCTGTGTGTGTGTGTGTGTGTGTGTGTGTGTGTGTGTGCTCTGAATGATCACTACAGGCCAGCTGTCACACATCACAGCATCTGTGTGTGTGTGTGTGTGTGTGTGTGTGTGTTCTGAATGATCACCACAGGTGTGTGTGTGTGTGTGTGTGTTCTGAATGATCACAGGCCAGCTGTCACACATCACAGCATCTGTGTGTGTGTGTGTGTGTGTGTCAGCTGTCACACATCACACACAGCAGCTCCCGTTTAGAGCCCCCCACACTTCCCCCCACACTTGACAGAACCTGAGCGGTGAAGCGCTCTGATTTGTTTCGTAGTCTAGAAAACGATCTTCTTTGAAGGGCTCTCTTCCTGTACCGACCATGAGAGCCTTGAGCTTTGCAGGCAGAGTGTACTCCTTGTGAGCTCAGCTCTTGTAGAGGGAAAGCGGAAGCTGCTCCACCATGCTCTTCCTCCATGTTGAAAACCCACCCAGCGCAGCAGAGGCGCTCTGGACTCCACCCAGCCAGCGTGGCCTTTGGTGGGCTTGTGCTCACGCTCAGAGTGGGGACCATGCTGTCCCGAGCCCCTTCGTTGCTGCTCTGCCATTGGCCTGCTGGTTATCCTGTCTGGCCACAGTGTAGCATTCCAACCAATACTCCGGTCCTAGATCAGTAAGGAACTTTATGCTTAATTATGGGATTTTGTTTCGTTTAACTCATTTAAGAAAAAGTCTTTAAGCCCAGGCTGGGCTGGAACTCACTGTGTAGGCAAGGATGACCTTGAACCCCTGAGCCCCCTGCCTCTCCGTTCCAAGTGCTGGGTTTATAGGCGTGTTCCACCATCCCAGTTTATGTGGGGCTGGAAAGCAAACCCAGGACAAGCGAATCCTCTACCAGCTAAGCCACATACCAAGCCCAGGAACTTTTTTTGGGTGGGTGGGTGGGGTAGCCAAGGGGGTTTTGAACTCACAGCAATCCAGATTCTCAGACTACAGAGTCAGCCACACACCCAGTTCAAGAAGCATATGTTGTGGTTCCGCACTGTCTCTTATCTACTCGAGGCACTGCCAAACCTCACATAGGACAGGGATGTAGGCTCCTTCCTGACCCTGTTTTTATTTATTTTTAACAGCTATGTATGTGTTCATATGCAAATACATGTGTATTTATGCATGTCTGTCCGGACATATGTGTGTGTGCGAGCACACATGCACGTGTGTGCCGTGAGTATAAGCAGCCAAGATTGGCACTATGCGTCTTCCTCTGTCGACCTCCGCCTTCTTCTGAGGCAGGGCCTCATGAGTGAGCCCAGAGCTCGCATACATATTTGCCTAATCTAGCTAGCAGCTTGCCCTGGGGAATTCCCTGTCTCTTACTCCTGTGTGCTGGGATTACAGGCTGACTGTCATTCCCACCCAGCATTTGTGTGGGTGCTGGGGATCCAATATGTGGGTGCTGGGACCTGCACAGCAAGCACTTCACCTACTGAGCATCTTCCTGGCTCCCCTTCGCGAGCCTGGCCTGGACAGCAGCAGAGCCATCGGGACACACTGCTCAGATTTGCCTCCATGTAAATGTCTCTTACCATCCTTGGTGCAGGCTGTTATCACTGACCTTCCTGGCTGACTGCTGTGGAGTTGACTCACAGGGTGATTAGGATCCTGCTGCGTGGTCTGTGGTTTAAATAGAAGGCTAGAAGCCTCGAAGGCTAGGGATACTGTAAGCTAAGCATGTGTGGCCCTGCCCTTCACTGACCCATCTCCAGAACCTGGTGACCTCTCATCCAGGAGATAAGCTCCCAGTGATGGCTGATACCTGATCTAGCCTTTCTTTCTCCCAGCAGGAGATTGCCGGGAAATTTTAATCCTGGAGTTCCGCTGTCTCTATTGTCTGACAGCCATAAGGAGAAGCATAGTGTCTCTTTAGGGAGAGGTGACTCAGGGGTTAAGAGCACTTATGGTTCCAAGTTGGGAACCAATGACCCACATTGGGCAGCTCACAACTGCCTGTAACTCCAGCTCCAGGGGGTTTGATGCTGGAAGATGCCCTCTTTTGGCCTCCTCTGGTACCCACAACCCAAACACACTCCACAAATAGAAATAGACCTTTTTAGAGCTGGATGGTGGTGGCGCACACCTTTAATCCCAGCACTCCTGAGGCGGAGGCAGGTGGATCTCTGAGTTGGAGGCCAGCCTGGTGTACAATACAGGGCGAGTTCCAGGACAGCCAGGGCTACACAGAGAAACCCCGTCTCGAAAAGCTTTTAGAAAAAGGCCATGTTCATTCATGCCGGAACATGGGTTGTGACTGAGCCTCCAGTCTGACCTGGGTCACCTGGCTGTACCCACAGCAGCGCCTCATTTCCCAGGAATTCAGGGACACTCACGAGCCCCTTCCTTCCATGCTAGCTCATGGTTCTGTGGATTTCCTTTGCAGGGTTTGGTTTCTAACATGACCCTCAACGTCAGTATTCTCACCAACTGGACAATCTTTCCACTGGACACCGAGACTGCAGTGCGCACCCATCTTGGGGGTTGGGAGGCCCACGATGAGAGCCGCCATGATAGACGCTTGACCTTTGGCTCTTCGAACTTCACGCTCCCCACTTTTTATGTGGGAAACTTCTCCATCCCCTCAGGCATCCCAGACCTGCCACAGGACACCTTTCTTCAGCTTCCTGGATGGACCAAGGTATGTGTCTTCATGGAAAGGGCTTGGGTCAAGCCTCAAGTACTTAGTGTCTGAGACGTAATCTGAAGACTATTAGCAGGACGCTGCGTGACGTTGCGAGGCTTTTCTGCTAGGTCACACTCAAGTCCAGGACTGTGCCAGATGCTCAGCTTTCTTCAGTGAATGGCAGCACACTTGCTTCCCCCGGGAGGAACGAGAGCCTGTTTGTTTGTTTGCTTGTTTGTTTTAGTTTCATTTATTTATGGCGTGCGGTTGCATGTGTGTTCATACGCACCTGCCAAGGCACACGTGTGGAGGTCAGGACACAACCCATGGGAATCAGCTCTCTCCTTCTACAGTGTGGGTCCCGGGGATTGAACTCGGGTCATTAGACTTGTTAGCAAGCACCCTCAGCTGTGGAGTCATCACACCATCCCCAGGGGACCCTTTAGATGTTGCTTATAAAGGTAACAATTTTTTGTATACATAGGTTCTCATGTAGCCCAGGCTAGTCCTGAATTTGCTATGTAGCCAAGAATGACCTTGAACTTCTGATGGTCCTGTGTCTACCTCAGGTGCACACCATCGTGTCTGGCTTTAAAGTGTTTACTTTTCAGCCAGGTGGTAGTGGCGGCATACCTTTAGTCCCAGTACTTGGGAGGCAGAGGCAGGTGGAGCTCTGTGAGCTCGAGGCCAGGCTGGTCTGCAGAGCGAATTCCAGGACAGCTTAGGCTACACAGAGAAACCCTGTGTAGGGGGGAAAAAATCTTAGTGCTGAGGGGGAGGGGTGGGGAAAGATTCTTAGTGACAAATTAATTAACAATTGAAAGAAATGCAGATTTAAAAGTAATAAAAAGCCAGCTGTGGTGGCACACACAGCAAAAGAAATCCTTGAGAGGTCGGAAACAGGAGAACCAGAAAATCAAAGTGTTCCTCTGGTTCCACGTAGTGTTGGAGATGCAGATAACCAACTTAGGAGACCAGCGAGAGCCAAGCCGTGTTTAATATGCAGTTGTGCAAACTCGGGCGCATAGAGAAAATGCAGTGACGGGAGCTGATTGGCTCATGACAGTTGTTTGCGAAGACCCTAGGTCGTGAGAGATTCCTGTTCCCTCTTTCCCTGGACCAGACGTCCCACTCCCTAACTCCCCACCTGCTGGATCAGCACACAGAGCCTTATCTAATGAGTACTCTGGGGCTCAGGATGCCCCCTCCTCGGATCTTTCCAGACCTCAGTGTTCTGAGGTAGCCAGGCTTCCTGCTTCCTGCTTGTTTGTCATTCTGATGAGCCCCAAGCACACCTCATAGTAAAAATGAGCCGTAGCAGTTTACTTCTTACAGTAGCAAGTTCAAGGCCAGTCTGGGCTGTATGAGAAATTGTCAAAACAAGACAAACGCAACCCAAGAGCCATCGGTCCATTCGACTGTTGCCTGCCCTTCCCTCCCTCTCCCAACCCTTCCCCCTGGAAGTGATCCCACCATTGTCCTCTTGGCTGATTCATGACGTACCAAGCACACATACGAGGCCCCTGCTGTGTGTTGGGCACCACCGTGGAAGCTCTACCTGCCTAGTAAGCTTGGCCCCTCTCTGCCCTGTCCCCGGGGACACCTCCTTTCTGGCTGCCAGCAGTGGGACTCCCTGGACTTCCTGTGCCTCCCTCCACCCTCACTTCCTGCCCAGTGGGCTCTAGAAGGAAGGCTCACCTCTGCCTGCCTTCTTCCTGGAAGCCAAACCCTGCTCTCACACTCTCTCTGTCAGCATTTTCCTCCCCGCTGCAAAGAAGCAACTTCTGGAGGCTCTAGGATCTGGGAATGTGTGTGGCCCTGGCTCTTCCCCTGCAGCTAGCGTGGACTCTGCCTCCCAAGCCGCCTTTGGTCTCTCCCCCTCCAAGCAGAGCCTGCAGAGAGAGATGAGCAGATCCTGCAGAGAGAGGCAGAGAGAGATGAAAGGGGGAGGGCACTTTGGCACGGTGGTTTTCTTTGCCTGTGCAGGCTGCCGAGCCAGACTTTGTGCTTAGCGCCTTGCCGAGCCTCTTCCAGTACAAGCAGCAGAGTGCTCTGACTCGTACTTGAATTTGAGCACAAAACCTGTCTTTGGCAGGCCTGCCTATGACAGCTGAAAAGACAAAAGAGGCTGAGGTGTAGCCTGATGGATAGAGACTTGTTTCTTGTACCGGGGCTCAGTCCTCAGCGCTATGTAAAACCAGACAAAGCGGTGCAGTCCCAGCACTCGGGTGGAGAGGAGGACCATAAATTCAAGGCCATCTTCAGCAGTGTAGCAGGTTCGAGGCCAGCCTGGGCTACATGGGACCTTAGGCTGACCTCTGGCCTGCGTGTATGAACACACTGAAGAAGCCACCAACCTTGTTTGTAACATGAATGTTTCTGGCCCAGCTAGGCCCTGCCTCCGCTTCAGCCCCCAAATAAGCACACAAAGACTTACATTAATTATAAAGCTGTTGGCCTTTGGCTATGGTTCCTTATTGGCTAGCTCTGTCTTAAGTATTAACCCATAACTACTAATATATGTATTTCTACAAGGTCTTATGTTACCGAGAATACCAGACTCATGCATCCTCTCCTCCCAGGATCATATGGCTACTCCTGCTACATTTCCCAGAATCCTCCTAATTTCCTAGTCCTGCCTATCTTGCTTCCCTATTGGCAAACAGTGTTCATTAACCAGTAAGTGAGACGGATACGCAGAAGGACTTCCCCCAACACTTGTTTTTGTTTTGTTTGCTTGTTCGATTTTATTTCACTTTATTATTACTATCAATGTGTGGGTAATGTGTGTGTGAATGTAGATGCAGAAGTCACAGGTACTGTGTGTGTGTGTGTGAGTGTGTGTGTGTGTGAGTGTGTGTGTGTGTGTGTGTGTGTAGATGGATGGATACAGGAATCACAGGACAACGTCTTAGCATCAGTTCTCTTCTTCTACTTTGGATTCTAGGGATCAAACTTGGATTTTCGGGCTTTCACAGCAAGCCCCTTTCCTTGCTAAACCAGCTTGTCTGCTCCACCTTGTTTTTTCAAAGCAGGGTCTCTCACTGGGACCTGGCTCTGATTCAGCTAAGCTAGATGGCCGGTGGCCACCCCCTCCCCCACCAGATCCACTAGTCTCCACCTCCCCAGTGTTGGTATCATAAGCATATACCAACACACCAGGCTTTTTATATGGGTTCTAGAAACCGAACTCAGGACCTTATAGTTGGAGGACAAGCTCTTTATGGACCAAGATAGATCTCCAGCCTCAAGCAATCTGTATGCCCACATGACAAGGTGGGCAGCTGCAGGAGCGTGGTGGGGAGCGAAAGGTGCTCCAAGAGAGAGTGACGCATACCTTATAGGACAAGTGTGGTCTTCTGAGAGTCACATTTAGGTCACCTTACAATGGTGTCTTCGGTTTTTATTGCTGTGATAAGTCTCCAAGGCGACATGGAGAGGAAAGGGTTTATTTCAGCTCACACTTCCAGGTATCAATCTCCCTGGGGGAAATCAGAAACTCAAGCAGGGCAGCATCCTGGAGGCAGGAGCTGATGCAGAGGCCATGGAGGAGGCTGCTTACTGGCTCGCTCCCCATGGCTTGCTCAGTCTGCTTTCTTATAGAACCCAAGATCACCTGCCCAGAGATGGCCCCACCCACAACTGAGCTGGACCCTTCCCCATCCATTATTAATGGAGAGAATGGTGGACAGGCTTTATGGGCCAGTCTAAAGGAGGCATTTTGTAAATTGAGATTCCCCCCTTGCCAGATGGCCGTGGCTTGTGTGAGGTTTATAAAAACAAAGTCTAACCAGGACAATGGGTATAGCATTTTGGTGGCTGTCATGTTACATCTTTAAAGGGCATTTCCCCTTAAAAACTAAAAGGACAGCATCCTTGCACAGAGCACCAAAGGCCACAGATCGCTCATGTCATCATCCTCCCGGCCCAGGCCTGGCTCCCTGTCTGCACACACATGGCTAATCTCACTCTTACTTTGCTTTCTGTACCTAAAAAGGTCGCACTTAAAACATCCAAGTCACAGATGTCTGCAGTGGTATCGTCCATGATAGCCAACAGAGGGTGACAAGCCAAAAGTCCACCTGATGATCCCATGTTTACACTTTGATCATCCTTGCAGTAGAATCAACTGTCAATTAAAAAACGAAATGTGATACACATTACAGCATGGGAGAGCCTGGAAACCTTGAGCTAGCCAGGCCTGGTAGCTCACCCCGGCGCTTAGGAGGTGCACAGACAGACATGTGGCTTCCGGGGGGCTGGCCGACCAGTCAGTGACTCAGCTTCAAGTTCAGCGCACAAGGGAGTAACGGTGAGGGGGCTGGAGAGATGGCTCGGTGGTGAAGAACACTTAGACCCAGGTTCAGTTCCCAGCACCCACATAGCTGCCCACATCCATCTGCAGCTGTCGTTCCAGGAAATCTGATGCCCTCTTCCGCAGAGCTGTGACTTCTGGCAAAATACATACATGAAATTAAATAGAATCATAACACATGGTAGAGGAAGGTACTCGGAGTCAACTCCTGGTCCCACACAGGTACAAGCTGGCAAATGTCTCCTTGCATTCCCTCCACGAACACAAACAAAACAACACCCCCTCCCCATGCCCAGCCTGTGCGGAAGAGCACTTCAGCCGATGGTGCAGGGCTAGAGGAAGGGCTTGATCACATGACAGTGGGCCTGAGCAGTTCTCAGTGGCCCTCTGCCTTCCTCCTCCTCAGAGGCCCCTACTGAGGCCGCTTGGCTCCTTCTCCATTTGTTAGAAGGGAGCCAACACTCTGTTTAGTGAATGAAATCACTGGTAGATGCGAGCCGTGAGATAAAGGCATCAGGTCTGATCACTCTGACTTTTCTTGGGTCGGAAGTGGCTTTCTGGTTAAGCGAGCATGCTCAGTGGTTTTCCGTGGTAAAGGGGTCAGGTGTGCATGCTGTGTCCACACAGACCAGCACCCTGTCTTCACCGTGCCCCAGCTGACTGTAGACTCCCTCAGAGACACGTGATCTCGAGGGCTTTG